ACTGGAAGCTTACTTGAAATCAGCAGATATAACGAATAACCAAGATAGTGGTCACTACGTTAACGGTAGCTGGGTGCACTTATAGAAAAATGTGTTGTTTAAAACAGGCTGTTAGTGCAGCATGTATTCAAAAAGAGCCATCTTCAAACTAACAAAGGTACAAAGACTAGCTTGTCTTGGAATCACAGGGGCTATGTGGTATACCAACGGCAGCTATGGATGCCTTACTTTACCTTCATCCATTATACATAGTGCGAGAAAACCTGAGCAACATAACAGGTAGATCAGGACTTAGTAACATCATAAATGAAATTAGCGATACCGAATGTATGACGATTTCTGACCATATAGTACCCAGATATAGATCTTAAGTGGACATTTGTCCACGAGAGGGATGGAGCAGAGGAAACACTCGGCCCAGACTACAGGGTTACACTTGGTATACAGACGAGTCTAAAGGTACGGGAACATACATGGATGTACGCGGTGGAGGTCTCGGTCGAGGTTTACATCGATGACGGGCAGAACATACCTTTAAGTGAAAAGTAGTGGATCATTTGTATTTCTTTAAATTGACAGATTTCGGCTCATAAATAAAGAAAAGCAGTATCTAGGAGAATACCATCACCTGTTTAAAGAGGTTAAGAAACATCACTCAGACATATTTTATGCTTATATGAGAATGAGTCTGGATAAATTTCAATGCGATCCTCGATCAGGATGTAAAACAACCTATTTTGTTCTGGTATCGGCGCTGCTGTAAACCATGGTGATAGGTCGCAAGAGTGAACGGAAAAACACCCTTGGTATGTGTGATCTCATAAGAAAACGAAGGTTTGTTTTTTGACTCGATGTATCAACCGCGATCTCCATCGCACACATCCATGTATCTTCGGTATGTCCGTACCCTAATACTGCAGGAGAACAATAATCTGAGTTAGAATGGTAAATTATCTTAATGTCTCCATAAAAAAATTCGATTTATGTTATCCTAGGCTTTCTTAAAATCAATTACAAAATGGTCTGTGTCTATATTAAATTCTCTAGTTTTTTCTATTATTTTTCTAGGGATTTTTCTTAACAAAAAGATCTTGTCGATTATGGACTTCTGTCTGCATTAGGCCAGTGAGGGCCTTATAATAAACGGTGAGCCACTTAATAACATAAGATATGCTGACGACACCGTCCTTCTGGTAGGAACACTAGAAGAATTGCAACACCTTGCTGAACAATTAAATATATATTGCAACGATTATGTACTAAAAAATAAATTTGAAGAAAACCAAGTTCATGGTATTTACAAAAGCACAAAACATCAAAGTTAAGCTAGGACTAGATAATACAGAAATTAAACAAATATCTTCGTACAAATACCTTGGAGCATGGATCACAGAAGATACTGATTAGACAAAAGAAATAAGATGCCGCATTGAAATTGCACGGTCAACTTTTAATAGAACGAGAAAACTGTTTTGTAATTGCAATATCAATATATCGCTCCGGATAAGAACGCTTCGATGTTATATTTTCTCTACCCTTTTATATGGGGTTGAAGCTTGGACACTTAAAAAATACAACTTTAAAATCGTAGAAACATTCGAAATATGTTGTTACCGACGTATTTTGAAAATATCATGGATGGATCGCAAAACAAAAGTTCTCGAACAACTAGGAAAACAATACAAACATTTAAATTCCATAAAAATCAGGAAATTGGAATACTTGCTGCACATCATGAGAGGTGAAAAATACAAACTACTAAGGAATATAATGCAGGGTAAAATCAAAGGCAGAAGAAGCGTAGGAAGACGTAAAATCTCGTGGCTACGTAATCTCCGTGAATGGTTTGGATGCAGTTCAATTGGACTATTCAGGCGCGTAACCAACAAGATTATAATTGCCAGAATGATTTCCAATCTCCGATAGGAGCGGAACTTGAAGAAGAAGAAGTCTGCATTAACTACATTTATATCCTCCATTTTTTTGCATATGGCCTTAGTCGCTCATATACAATGTTTAATAATATCTTATAGGCTGTATTCAGCAAAGTAATTGTCCCATCTTTTTTAGATTTAAGTTGATCTACTTTTTGTGTAGTGGGATGATGACCCCCGTATTTCATATATGCCAGGTGTTTGTTATGTTCATTATTAGTTTATGTGTGACATTTAATTAGGAGTACCTGCCGTTGTTTATTAATTATGTTTTCAGTTCAGGTAATGAAGGTGGGTTTATTTCTCTGTTATAGTTTTGATCCAGTGCTATTCCATTATTAGTGCATCCATCCTCTCTGATTTCTTCAAACTTTTCTTTGAAGGCTTATGTCCATTTTTTCAATTGTTGTGTTACCATGTCTCCTTCTTTGTCTCTTTTTTACTTTTGTTGGTTTTTTGATAAAGTTTTCTGGTTTCTATAGATGTATTTAGTTTACCTATCTAGGTTCACTATCTAATTAGCCTTCTTCGGTCCATCTTTGGACATAGGCCTCCCCAATCCTTTTCCATTCTTCTCTGTCTGTCGCTACAGTCATCCATCTAGAGCCCACGTGCTTCTTGATATCATCTGCCCATCTCATTTGGGGCCTTCCTCTGCTTCGTTTATATTCCCACGGTCCTCCAACTTATAAGAATTTTGTTCCATCGGTCTTCTTTTTGTCTTATATTGTGTCCGGCAAATCTCCATTTCAATTTTGCAACTTCTTGTCTAACATCCCTCACTTTTGTTTTCTCTCTTATCCACTCGTTTCTCTTCTTATCCATTAGTCTAATGTGCAACATTTGTCTTTCCATTGCTCTTTGGGTTTTTATGATTTTGTCCATGTTTGCTTTTGTAAATGTCTACGTTTGGGAGCCATACGTAAGAACAGGGAGTACGCATTGATTATGTACTTTGGTCTTAAGATGCTGTGGATATCTTTTGTTTTTAAGAATGTAGCTTAGTTTGCCAAATGCCGCCCATGCCAATCTAACTCGTCTCTTGATCTCTGCTGTTTGGTTCTCTTTGTTAAGTTTTATAGTTTGACCAAGATATATATATATTATAATATATATATATATATATATATATATATATATATATATATAATCCTTAACTTGTTCTATTTCATCTTGTCCGATTCTCATTGTGATGTCTTCATCTGTATTTGTTATAGTTTTGGTCTTGCAGTAATTCATATTAAGGCCTATCTTTCCAGCTTCTACGTCCAGTTCTTTCATCATTTCAAATAATTCTTCTTTTTTATCGTTTATCAATACGATCATACATCAGCGTACCTTAGATGGTTCAAGCGTTGTCCACAAATTTTTATACATTTTTTTCCCATTCTAATCTTTTAAAAGTATCTTCAAGAGCCTGATTGAAAAGTTTCGGTGATATTTTATCACCCTGTCTCACGCCTCTACTTATTTGTAATGATTTTGTTCCTTCATATACTTTAATTGTTGTTTTGGCTTCCTTATATATATTGGTTATTAGTTCCGTATATCTGTGGTCAATTCGGCTGTTAATCAAAGAACTTTTCACTGCCCAATGTTCGACACTGTCGAAAGCCTTTTCGAAATCTATGAACGCCATATATAGAGGAATGTGGTATTCATTTGCTCGTTCTATAAGTATTTTCATACTTAGTAAATGGTCACTTGTGCTGAATCCCTTTCTAAAACCAGCTTGTTCTTTCGACTGGTATCCATCGAATTTTGTCGTCAATCTATTGGTTAAAATTTTTGTTAGGAGTTTATACATTACATTGAGGAGTGTTATAGGACGGTAGTTTTTTATATCTGCTTTATCCCCTTTCTTGTGTAGGATAATGGTTACTGATTCCTTCCAGTTGTTTGGGATTCTTTTTTCTTTTAATATCCTGTTAAAAAGGGAATGTAGAGTATTAATTACCACTTTTCCACCATATTTCAGCATCTCTGTAGTTACTCCATCTTTTCCAGGCGATTTGTTGTTTTTCATTTCTTTCAATGCCTTCTAGGTTCACTAGTTACCGCAGATAACAATGTCAGTGAAGAAGTTAAGAGAAGAATACATATCGCTAATAAAACATATAATGGACTGATTAAACATCTAAAATCTAACAACATCACAAGAAAAACCAAATGCAAAATATACAAGACCCTGATAAAACCGGTCCTTGTATATGGATCAGAGACATGGACACTGTCGAAAAGCGATGAGAACCTATTAGGTACATTTGAACGAAAAATCCTTAGACACATATATAAGGGGGTAAAGGAAAATGACATGGCGCAGAAGATATAACTTTGAATTATACACAGCTTACAATGAACCCGACGTCATAACATCCATAAAAATCAGACGTCTGCGCTGGATGGGCCATGTTGAACGGATGTTGGAGACTGAAACACCAAAACATATAATAAGGCAAACACCAGTAGGAAGAAGGTCAAAGGGAAGACCCAAACTTAGATACATGGAACAAGTGGAACAAGATCTGAAAACACTTAAGATTACCAACTGGAAAAACCAAGCAAGGAACAGAACAGAATGGCGGAAAATCCTAGAACAAGCCAGGACCCAGAAAGGGTTGTCGAGCTACTGATGATGATGATGATGATGATGATGATTAGTTTATCTATCTCGTGAGCTATTTTTCCTTATTCTCTCTTTTTCTCGTACAGTGTATTTATCTTTTCTCCCCTCCTTAACAACCCCAATCAAATGAACGATTCTCCAATAAAATCGTATCAGAAACCCATCTCATAAATACTGATAATACCATTTTAAAATCCTCTAATTTTTTTGTATTTTCTATTTTGAGAACGATTTCTGAGTTGAAAATCGAAACTTTAAATATAATGATTTTTATTGTAACTGTTGTTTATTCTTATAAAAATAGTAGTTAATATAAAAATGCCACAATAACATATTTTTAGAAAATATATCACTTTATACAGTATTATATTTCTGGAACAGTCTGTATACTATGTTAGTAGTAGTATTATCACTTATTATATATTGATATCCCTTTTTAGCTTGAAGATTTAATTCATAATACGGACGCTGGCGAAAACTGGAACGTTGACCCGGTTCTACGTCAAGCTTGTGACCCAGTTGTCAATCTAGCGTGCAAAAACATACGCGGAGGCAATGGTCGCGTTATCTCCTGCCTAATGGACAACATGCGATCGGACGTTATGACGGAGGATTGCGAAAGTGCCCTCCTAGAAATACAGTATTTTGTTGCCAGAGATTTCGTCCTTGATCCACAGCTGTATCGAGCTTGCAGTCAAGATGCGACCAAATTTTGCCACTTTGTAGCGGAGCCTGATAATTCTGTAGGTCCCAGTTATTCCAGACAAGTTTTGCCTTGTCTTTACAGGTATGTATATTTGTTTATATGGCAAAAATTATACAGCGACTGGTTATAATTAACCTTTATCACAATTCCCAAGAAAATGATACAATATTATGTAAAAATCACACAACTATAAGCTTAATTATTCCTAAGCCATAGGAGCCATAGAGCCAAGGAGCAATACGCAAAAATTATTCCTAAAAATAATATATAACTGTGTGTACAAAAAATTGGATAATGACATTAGTGAGACACGGTTTGGATTACGCAATGGAGTTGGCACAAGAGGTCCATTATTTAGTATAAACGTGCTAATTCAACGCTGCCCATTTAACATATAACAAAGATGTGTACGACTGCTAGTGTTTAACAGAGTCCCACATGAACAAGTAATGAAAATTCTGATACTGATAACGAAAAAAAAACTCGATACTAGAGATATCAGGAGTATAGAAAACTTGTCAAACATGGAGTACTATCGGGCTGTAAACTTTTACCACTACTATTTAATATGAATTCAGAATGAATATATATGTATGCATGTATAGCGTTTTAGGCCCATTGTTGGATGGATAATTTCCATCGTTTTCTGTTCTTAGCTGTCAGCTTCCAATCTCAGTATACACTTGGTACACTTCTACATTAGTTCATCTTCTCCATTATCCCTCTACTACTTTTCCACCAAATATTCTTCGGAGTATCTTTCTTTCCCATGCTTTCAATCTGTTCTGTATGGTTTTGTTCATAGTCCTTGTGTCAGCAGCGGTTAGCATTGTGGGTCTAATTTAGTTTTGTATACTCTTATTTTTGTATTACGAGATATATCTTTGGTCTTAATTATTTTGTTTATGGCCACAGCACATCTGTTGTTTTTGGTTAGTCTCATATTGATTTTAGTTTCTTCCTTATATATCTGATCAATAAGGATACCTAAATATATATATTCATCCACCTTCTAGAATTCTACAACTGATCCATCCTCCACCTCTAATTTAAAGGAGCCCCTGGTGTTTATTTCTTTTTTGCTCGAGATTTCCATGTACTTGGATTTATTAATATTAACTTTCAGTCCCATTTTAGAGCTTTCCCGAATCAGTATTTTTGCTATACTTGTCAGCTCTTTTCCATTTCTTGCAATGAGAACCACATCATTGTGCTGAAATGTTGTATTCATAGCATTGATCAGGATTTCTTTTAGCATAAAAAATTTGATCGGTTGTTGACCTTCCCTTGCGAAATCCTCTCGGGTATTCTTCTAGATTCTTCTCCACATGTATTTCTCTCCTCCGTATTTTAAGTTCTCTGTCACAATGCTGCTCTTCCCAGGACTGAATGAATACATATTGAATTTATATTGAACATACTGTTTAATATACAATGAAACACATGCATATGACACCGTATTACTAGCAGAAAGCTTATAGCTATATATAAGCTATAAACAACAGCCTACAATGATTACTGCTCCAGTAGGAAAGAAAACTAGTATCCAATGTGGTTTGAATATAAACCTTAACAAGACAAAATTTCTGATCTTTATCAAAAAACCAAACCACAACATACAGCTAACAATAGACCATCAGTTTATAAATATTAAATACCTGGGAACTCTAATCAACGACAACAATGATTACTCGTAGAGTTAAAATAACGACTTGAAATAGCACTTAACGCTTTCATTAAAATGAAACAACTCTTTTTGAACGCTTCAACAAAATTTCAACCTCAATTTCAATTCATATATTAGATACTCTTGACCTCCTTCATTTAGCTACACCCCTAGAACATATTGACAACAAAACAAAGTCGTTTTGTTTAGGCTAACTTTTTAAAGAGTTTAACTTTTTAAACATTCTCTGCTCGTTTGTAGAAATTTTAATTACCATAGCAAGGAAATGCGCTCAGCAGGACATCATTCATCTTTGGTCACCCACGGTGGCATTTAACAGCGTCACTTCTTGTGAGAATTCACACCAGATTGTATCTATAGTAGTCAATGTTGGTGGTTCTCGTTTTTCGACCAAAAGGCCAAAGATCGCAATTAAACTTAAGTGAATGATAATGGTCTCGTTTCCGATCAAAGTGCCGAACATTCGCGTATTAGTCTTCTTTACGCGCCTGAATAGTTCAATTGAACTGCATCCAAACCATTCACGGAGATTGTGTAGCCACGAGATTTTACGTCTTCCTATGCTTCTTCTACATTTGATTTTACCCTGCATTATATTCCTTAATAGTTCGTATTTTTCACCTCTCATGATGTGCCTCAAGTATTCCAACTTCCTGATTTTTCTGGAATTGAAAACTTCGCATTGTTTTCCTAGTTGTTCGAGAACTATCCATGATATCCATGATATTTTCAGAATACGTCCGTAACACCATATTTCGAATGCTTCCAGGTTTTTAATGTTGGATTGTTTCAGTATCCAGGTCTCAACCCCTTACAAAAGGATAGAGAAAATATAACATCAAAAGCATTCTTATCCGGAGCGTTATATTGATATTGCGATTACAGAAAAGTTTACTCATTGTGTTAAAAGTTGACCGCGCAATTTCAATGTGGCATATTATTTCTTTTGTGTGGTTAGTATCTTCTATGATCCATACTCCAAGGTATTCGTATGAAGATATTTGTTTAATTTCTGTATTATCTAGTATTAGCTTAAATTTGATGTTTTGTGCTTTTGTAAATACCATGAACTTGGTTTTCTTAAAATTTATTTTTTGTCGATAATTCACCAAAGGTGTTGCAGTTGTTCTACTGCTTCCGCCAGAAGGACGGTATCGTCAGCATATCTTATGTTATTAATTGGCTTACCGTTTATTATTAGGCCCTCATTAACTTCGTCCAACGCTAATTGTGAGATGGCTTCACTGTATAAACTAAACAACAATGGTGATAAAATACACCCTTGGCGCACCCCACGGCGAATCTGGATATCCCAGTCGTTCATTTTCAATTTTCACTTTCGCTGTTTGATTCCAATAGAAGTTACAAATAATTCTAATATCTCTACTGTCTATGGTTTTATTTAAAAAAATTTCTTCAAGATGATTATCGTGCACTGTCAGTATAGTAACCCACTTAGAGGTCCATTTCTAAGGACAGTAAGCGGCATTCTATGAGATTTGTTTAGTTGTCATGCTCGTCAATACAGTACGATACTTTTAAAGATTGAGTTAAAGAAGATGACAACCTACTACAAGTAATTGATGCTTTAACTGGTTATCGAATGTCCTCTTTAGAGCAATCAACAAAATAGTCATGATGGTCGCCAACTTTCTCAAGAAGAAGATATCTGTTTAGAGTTGCATATATTGCGTTTAAACATCAGTATAAAGGCGCTGGTGTAGATATTTTATTATATTTTGGAGCACATTTAACAACTTTTATCCTTGTGCTATTTTCTTCTCTTAGACACGCTTATCAATCCCAAGAATCTCTACAAATCGACAAGGCGTGTATCCAGCAAATCAGGCGCGTGATGCGACAAAGAGCCGTAAGCGTGAACCTGCAGCCCGAAATAGAAGAAGCTTGTGTCAAGGATTTGAGTTTCTACTGTCAAGACAAGTTAAAGAAAGGTGAGGAAATACAGTGCCTTCAAGACCATCTAGAAGATCTAGAGGACAAATGTCAGGATATTGTTGAATCTTTTACCGAGATGGAAGCTGAACGAGTGGAATTGAATCCTTATATTTCAAAGTACTGCAGTAAAATTATTGAGCCGCTTTGTGGAAAGGACGACGACGTAGTGGACTGTCTTATTGGTAAGTTCTTTTTCATTGTTTAACTGATTTTTTAAAGCTGTGTTAACGTTCTAAACGTTTTTTAATATTATGGGTGTGTTACATCGCCTTTCGGAATATTTCATCTCCCAGGACCAATGCGAAAAAGCGGGACCTGTATAGGTTAAGAGAAAAAGATGTTAGTACTTCATATACAGGCACTCCTTTTCGAGTTCTAGACATCCAAAGTGGGAATTTTGCATTCATTTTGTATTTTTAATTGTATTACTGTTAATTTTATTTGTATAAAATTTTCAGTAAGCTTAGAATCTATACTTGTTCATTTTAGAAGTGTAAACAGATATATTGCCCTGAAACCAGAGTAGTGAGACTGAGTCGTAGTGTTAATGGCTTCAACATTTTTGCATGGATGAAATAAATATGGTTTTCCCATATCTTAAGCTAACGAAAAGTTACTAAGTAGAATTAGATAAAAAAGAAAGTTTTATTATATTTGTTTATGAAAGTTTATTTGTAATAATTTTATTATAAGAATAATCCATCCCAATTGTTATTAATTGGTTCTGAGAAAAAGTAATTTAATAAGATAATGCCAAAGATTTATCTAAATATAATAGGGATTTCAGAAGAAAATGAACATAGGGGTGTTTGAACTTAAGCGAATCAATATAGGACCACCATGCATAGTCAAGTGACTGTGGGGCCCTCAGGAGCCCTAAGGTGTTGGTGCCAGGTCCCAGGTCATTGGCGAATACACGGCAATGAAAGAGTTAATGAACTTGGCAGAAGAGGATCAGCTACAACATACTTCGACCAGGAACCGGTCTTAGGAATGCCAAAAGGACTGTCAGTGATCGGAACAAAGCCTGGGTTCAAGGTTGTCTGGGTGACAAGCAGGAGTCAGCTGTGCATCATGTCAGGCTTCCTTACTGGATGCCAGTCAAGAAACACCTAGATACAATGGAGCTGTTTTATGGATAGTCGAGGATACCAAGTGATTCCAAAAACATATGGTACCCGTCCATTAGATCTGCATAAGCTGGTGCAGTGTCCAAAATTCTAGAATGTGTATGTTAAATGCATGGAAAATGTACATTAAGCCAATTGGTTGCGACCGCTTTAAAACAGACGGATTAACCCTTTGAAGCCCAATTTTTATTAAGTTAAAAAAAAACAAGATTTTTGTGCAATTTATTTATTTCAGTACATTCTTGAAACAAATTCAGTCAATCTAAATAATGCTGATCCTGAAGTATATCCTGCAGGATGTGGTATTCTCATGATACCAGCAGGAACATAGCGTAACAAAAAACCAATGAGAAATAAATACCAGGTAGCACTTCTTTCTTCCTATTGTTTTGCATGGAATGTTGCAAAACAATTTTTGTCGTGTTTGAGACAAAGTCCAACATTGCACGATGAACATTTCCATTGTGTTCTGCTAACATTTGCTGTGGTGCTGCAGTTGGCACATCTCAAAGAAGTAGTTCTTTGGGGCATATGGGCAGACTTGGAATGACGCAGTTCCAAGGGAATATGCCTTTTAAATTTACTCACTGGTTTTTCTGCTGATGGTCTTCCCCTTTTAAGTTGTTCTGGAGCTCCAACGAGGCCTCTAATCACAGAGAGTCGGAATTCTTTCAAAGACATACTTTTGGATTGGCTTCTAAGTTGAAATAGAATGAATGCGTTTACGACGCAAGCATCCACAAAATAAAAAAATATTCTATGCCACCACTTGTGTGATTTACGATTCACCTCATAAAGACTTTTCAGCATGTCAAATTTGTCAACATATCCCATATGTGAGTTGTAGAGCACTACCATTTGTGGACATGAAACGTCATTCAGAGTAGCGTCTTTTTGTCTTCTCTTTACAACTTCGTTTGCTGCTGGATTTTGGTGATTTGCTAAAAGAATCACACTTCTGCGATCCATCCATTTCAACGCAGATAGTCCATCTGTTGAAATACGGTAATCTGAATCTCCGCGATTCATTTGTTTGTCTGTTTTGAACTCTGGTAAATCCTTTCTATTTTTTTGAACGGTTCCACTACCGTAAATTCCGTCCGACAATAAAGATCTCTGAAGATCAATAGAATTGAAATAGTTGTCAAAGAACACTTGGTGGTGTTTATTTACTAAGACCCTTGTTAGATCCTGTACGACTCGTTGTCCTAAGTTTTTTTCGGCGGAATTTCCCACTTTACCGGTATATATCTGGAACTCGCACATGAATCCGCTTGAATCTGCTCTAACCCATACTTTGTAGCCACGTTTTATAGGTTTATTGGGCATGTATTGTCGGATACTGCTTCGACCTTTGAATCGTATCATATATTCATCAATCGCTTGAAACTCATGTGGATTCAGTGCTGCAAGAAACGTTTCCTGGAGTTTGCCGTAGACGCACTTGTAGTTGTCAATCGGATCAGTTTTTTTTGGCTGCACTGTATTATCAACCAGATGTAAATTGCCTAGTAACCAAGCGAATCTGTTACGTGACATAGCAGAACTGATGAAAGGGTCTCGTAATTCATCACGTGAAGACCAATAATCTCTGTAACTGGGCATTTTCTTTATACCCATTAATAAATTTACTCCAAGAAAGGTTTTGACTTCGTCTTCTGTGGTAGGTGTAAATCCATTCCCTCCGCCGTGTTTTTGAACGTAATATAAATTGGTTTGAAATACAATTAGGTGAATTAGATCCTCAGGAAATAGTTCCAAAAATACATCTGTGGGGTTTTCTGCAGAATTTGGAATGTTTGGGCCTGTAGTTTCAGTGAATTGATTTGTTTGTGTTATATAACTTTCATTTTGGGTCCAAAATATAGAGTTATTTTGCTTTGCTAGCCGTACTGCTAGCGGTACATCGTCTTCACTATCCGATTCGGATTCTTGGTTATTTGGAGTTCTGGTTGTTTCATCTTGATTGTTAATTTGATCTTCAAACACGATGTCCCTATTTCCAATATCAAAGGCATCCTCATTATTTGGTCGCCGAAATTCATCAATATCCAATTCATCTCCCAAAACGCTTTCAATATCAGAGACAATTGACTCCTGGTCACTTGGAATTTCATCTAATAAGGCGTCAACCTCGTTTTGGGACATACTTTCCAAATGCCTGAAGCTCCACTTTTGGTTTTGTATATTTGCAGAATTCATATAGGAAGTGCCCGGTGGTCGTGCCAGAATACCACGTAAAAGACAGTGATCTACAACAAAAATTGAAATGTATTCATGCAAATAACACTACTTAGTGTGAAACAGACTTCAAAAATATCACTTACCTGCAATATTTTCTAATTAATAATAATCGAATAAATAAAAAACAATTAAAATATGTCGCTCTGTCAACTCTGAACGTCCGCTTCAAATGTTAGCTTGACTAATTATGTTATCCAGTCAATATCATTCAATAAAATCGATTCTAAACTGATAGATATTTAGAATATAGTATAGGCAACCAATTTTACACGCTGGTATGACTTTATAACCGCTGGAAAGTTTAACAGAAATGTTTAAAAAGGTGGTCATCTCAGCATACCGACAGTCGTCAAAGGGTTAAACAAACTTATTATATACACCTTAGAGAGCTGGTAAAAACTTTGTTGATCAATTTTATCCAGTGGCCTTATTTATAGTTTGCAATAGTTTCCATTGAATAATTGTCAGTACTTGTCAATAATTAATTACTTAACAGCTTAAATTAAAAGTTACTATGGAAGATTTCATCTTTAGTATGTCTGGAAACTATTTAGAGGTTAGAGGGCTTTATGCTGAAACTTTTCCGAATACAGTATATCTATAGAGACGAATGATTGAGAGTATTGATGCTATGTTACGAGAGACAGTTATAAGTAAATAAACTAATTTATTTTGATTGTGCACATTTTGTAATGAGATTGAGCTCATGTTCTTGCCAAAGCCATTCTAGCAAGAACATGAGCTTGGGGAGGTGAAAGAACTTGGGTAATCAAAGGTGTTCCCACTGAATACTGCTCACTCAGATACTTATCATCTCTGTAAAATGGGTAAAGTAGACAAATCTGTTGGAACAAACAGATGTAGAGTATACACAAAAAATTATAACAGCGGCTAATTATCTATATTGGACAGTTTCTGCGACAATAGCACGTAAACAAAACATTTTTTATAATAAAAGTTATTTTTATTGACGAATCCGATTTCACAAGAGATGTAGTAATAGTAATGGTAGATTCGCATAACATGCACATCTGGGATGATGAGAATCCACACGCCATCATCCAAACAAAGAACCGTCGTAGATCCATGGAAAATATTTTGGTAGCAATATTTGGATATCAGTTAAATTTACCATCAAAAATGATTCTCTCATCTCTGGCTTCAAGGTAAATTGTAGATCCGTTTATAGTTCTAAAATTATCAGGAATATCAGTAATATATAAAATATAGAAAATATAATAACATATAATAACAAGTATATGGAATATTGAAAAAAACAAATATAAAATTTCAACTTTGATAATATTCTTAGGAGTCACAACGCTCTAATTGCAGCCTGGCGTATAGTAATTCAAGAAGCCGAATTAACCACTTGCCAGCACGAACTTCTTTATCGGTATTTTTCTGAAATCTCGTATTAAAGTGCTGATTCGACATTCGTGTCTTCTTTAGACTGCCGTGCTAAGCACAAAAGTGGTATCTACAAGTGAGGTTAAAATGAGAAATTGAGGTTTACAAGTTTAATAACTTGCATTAGTTGACCTTATAACTTGTTAACATGTTCTGTTTATTGTGACTGCTTTGTAAATATTTAATTTAGAAGAGTGCATTTTTTGTTAAATTATCCTTCAGTCATTAATTACTGCAGTTACTACAACATTTATTTTATATGATATACCCCGATGCTAAGTCGTTTTTGCCGTAAGTACATTTTACTAAGAGGATTAGGGGGTATGTGCTCAGATACCTCTAAATTAGTCTAGTATGATGCACTTACAAGTAAAAATCCTTACTATTTGGCTAGGCAGGAAGGATAATAATAAAGCAAAAATACAGTGTTGTTCTTTATTAACAATGACTCAGACTTAAATAAAAAAACATTTTGCAAGATACACTATTACTACAACAGTCAGCTTTCTTCTGGCTAGTAGTAGCAGTTGTCGTTCCAGCTGGACCACTCTTTGTTGATGTTGAAGTTGATTTGTTAACCGTTTTCTCTTTTTTTCCCGCTACCTCTTTTTTTAGCATAGTCTTTCCATTCAAAAAAGTCACTTTACCAGAAGAACTTTTCAACAATCTTCTTCTTCTTCAGTGCCTTATCCGGTCCGGATGTTGGCGATCATCAAGGCTATCATGGTTTTGTTGACTGCTCTGCGAAACAGCTCAGCTGAGGTCATCCCAAACCATTGTCGGAGATTTTTCAACCACGAGATACGACGGCGTCCCGGTCCTCTTCTGCCAAATACTTTACCCTGCATAACGAGTTGAAGAATTCGATATTTTTCTTCGTTCCGCATCACGTGGCCGAGGTACTCAAGCTTACGTTGTTTAATTAAATTAAGCACTTCTTTTTCTTTTGTCATGCGCTGTAGGACCTCAACGTTGGTGACATGGTCCACATAAGATATTTTTAGTATCCTTCTGTATATCCACATCTCGAAGGCTTCGATTCGTTTTTCAGTGGCTTGCGTCAGTGTCCAGGCTTCAACTCCATATAGTAACACTGGAAGAACATAGCACCTCACTATCCGCATCTTGGTTCCCAAACTGAGATCACTGCAGCACAGCAAGGATCTCAACTTAATAAATGTAGTCCCATTGTGAGTTGAGGGTAGTTCCGAGGTAAGTGAATCTGTCGACTCTCTGGATCTCTTCGCTACCTGCCATTAGTGCCCCGGGATCTAAATTTGTACGGCTGACCACCATGAATTTAGTTTTCTTAATATTAAGGTTCAGTCCGTGTGTTACACTCACAGTTCACACTCGGTCTAGTAAGGCCTGCAGATCGTTTAGGCTGGTTGCTAGTAACACAGTGTCATCGGCGTAGCGGATATTATTGATGTATTCACCGTTCACTCGGATTCCCATCTCTAGGTTTGTGAGGGCTTCAGTAAAAATCTCCTCAGAGTATATATTGAAAAGAGTCGGCGATAGCACACATCCTTGCCTTACTCCTCGCATGATCTTCACTTGGTCGGTCAGCTGGTCTTCGACCTTGACTTGAGCACGCTGGTTCCAGTATAAATTCATGATGATCCGAATGTCCTTCTCATCCAATCCTACTCTTTGTAGGGCGGTGACCATCTTCTGGTGCTGACAACGGTCAAATGCCTTGGCGTAGTTAATAAAACAAATATAGACATCACAACTGACATCGCGGCATCTCTGAAGTAGGACTTGTAAGGTGAAAAGTGCCCATGTCACGTGTACCCATGGAATTTCGGAATCCGAATTGGATTTCACCGACATTTTCTTCGCATTTCTTGTAAATTCTGGCATGTATGATTTTAAGAAAAATTTTAAGTGCATGACTCATAAGACTGATAGTTCGGAAATCTTCGCACGTTTTCGCAGATCGTTTTTTGGTAGCGTTACAAATGTTGACAATAGCCATTCCTCTGGGATATTACCTGAATCGTATATGGCATTGAACAGTTCAGTTAACTCCTTCGTGCTCACTTCACTCATCACCTGTAGCCTTACGATTCTTAGACTGTTTTAAAGCCGCCTTTACCTCGCTTTCTAGAATTGACGGCCCTGTCATGCAATTTATTTCCGGAAGGTTGCCTCGGTCGTCTCAGAAAAGTTCTTCGATATATATTTTCCAGGTAACCAACTTCTCATTCACTGTTGTCGCCAGATTACCGTCTTTATTTATGAGGAGGTATGTGTTTTTCTCCTCTTGTATTGACCAGTGGCTTCACGAATATTGTGGATATTTATATGATCGTGTTTCTCTTGGAGCTCCTCGATTAGTTTACATTTTTCTTGCATCCATGTCTCCTTGGCTTTTCAACAATGATTTTTTGTAATTGTGGTGTCATGCAGCTTCCGGAAAGTTGAGCTTTTTGCAATCCAACTTGTAGTGGACGTTAGGGAGAAAATTATTACAATAGTGCTCCAATTGTAGATCAAGCAGAAGAAGATATTGATAGTGACGTCAGTACTCACGATGATTTCTGATTTTGTATTTGTAAATATTTATGAAAAAATTTGTGAAACCATTATACAATATTTTTAAATGTAAATTTTTTAGCAATATAATAAATTATTTAAATATGCCACTGAATAATTTGTTTCTGTTTTGAAGTGATAATAGGGGATGGTTGCAAGGGTTGATCAATTATACAAAATCACATATGATATTTCAGAAAAGTAATGCATCATTATAAAAGTTGCTGTAAGATTTAACGTACAATTTTGTAATTTTTAACAGTAGGGCTAGTTTTCACCCCTATAACATAATATAAATATATTGACACAGGGTAGATGTTAAAGGAACTTATCTACGAATTTTCTTGTAAATGTGTGGACATCCATAAAATGTGGATATTATGCAGTAACAGAGTCTTCTAAGGGTGGCGATAATAAAACTAAGGGTTGAAAACTTACAATACACAATTAATTATGTTTCACTATTATTAATTACATTGCATTGTAATATCAAATTAATTAAAAATATGAGTAAAATATTTTTTCCATATTAGAGTTATTCCTATCTGTTATAAGGTTTACTTTTAGCTTATGTAAATTTGGACAATAAGAGGTAGTTTTAACCCTAAAAATAATTAGCACATATTGGCATATGGTAGATTTTGAAGTGGTAGGTATATTGAGATTTATTACAAATTTTCATGCAAATTAATTTTTACATTTTAATATTTATTTTCAGAAAACAAAAACAATCCTCAAGTAAAGTCAATACCAAACTGTCGAGCCAGCATTGAACATTTCCAGATTATCTCACTGAAGGACTACAAATTCACGTACAAGTTCAAGTTAGCTTGTAAAAGTCACGCGCAACGATTGTGTGCCAAAGCCAGTACCAAAAGTGCCGTTATAGAATGTCTCAGCGAACATATCCTAAACGCTACTATAAAGGGAGATAAAGGCGTCATACCAAAGGACTGCAAACAGCAGCTTAAAGCCCAGATCTTTCAACAGAGGGAAAAGATCGATTATGATCCAGTGTTAAACAATGAATGCAAAGCGGACATCAACAAGTTTTGTAAGAATGTACAGTCGGGAGAAGCCCAGGTGAGTTATAATAAATACTTATTTTCCGTATCCGAATCACATGAATCTTCTAAATTATTTTTTTCCAATACTCCATTGTGATATTATTGATACCCGACTACCAGTACAATTACATCTCCTTATTGGTCCTTCTTACCCATCTGTTCTTTAATTATCTTTCCTCCATATATTGTGCGGAATATTCTACTCTCCCAAACTTCTAGCTTTTGTATTTCTGATTTATTTAGTGTCAATGGTTCACATCCATAAATCACTGGTCATATAACATCTTTCTTTTGCTCTTCTTTATAACGTTGTTGATTTTAACATTTTCATCATGGCTCCGGCATTTCTATTACCTTTATTTATTGTTTAATTGATTTCTACGCTTTTTTCGTTTGTTTTTTATATTCACTCCCAGATAGATAAAATTTTCTTTACTCTCAAATGTATATATTTTTTTGTTCAACGCCGTTATTAATTTTTTGGGTCTTCATCATTTATTTCTAAATTGTATTTCTTTCCAGCGTTTATGAGCCATATTGTTACCTCTAACTTCTTTTTATTTATGTTATTATAGTAAGATTTTTAGCACACGCTAAGTACTGATGTTTTAAATGCAGTATCGTTCACTCTCTACGAATTTTACCACCTCTTACTGGGAAGAGGCTGTTCCTGTCTCACACCTGTGTTTGCTTAAAGTAGGTCTGATGTTTGGTTGTTTACGCATACTTTACGTATCATCTTAGTGAGTTCTTGGAATAATCGTTCTTCATGCAACTCATATTACGCCTGCTTAAAATCTATAAATAGTACATGTGAAGTTAGGTTGTCTTCATAACTATTATGTAATACTTGTTTTGTCACAAACATTTGATCAACGATTAATCTTTCTTGTCTGCCTGCCTGGTAATCGCCGATTGCGTTTTCTGCATATATTTCAATTCATTTTTTTAATAAGCTTGCAAAGATTTAATATATTCGTTGGAAGTCTGATAAGTACTTAGCCTACAAAAGCAAAAAGAAAATTTTGGAAAAGTGACGATTTATTTCTTAATATCGTCACTTTTTGGTTCGATACATTTGACCCAGCTATCCTGCAACTTCTTTAACGCGTCTAAAAAAATACGTTTTCTCGAAGTATGCAAAGTAAGCTACCGTTGCGGCGATGACCTCCTCATTCGACTCAAATCTCTGCTCAGTGAGAGCCTTTTTCAAGTATGGAAACAAAATAAAGTCGCAAGGGGCCAAATCTGGAGAATACCGTAGCTGGAGGAGGAATTCGTAGCCCAATTTGACCGTGCCGACGGCAGTAATGTGAACCGGTGCGTTATTGTAGTAGAATAGCACTTTTTCTTCGTCAAATAACGCCTTTTTTTCTGCAATTTGGCGTCGAATCAGCCAAATCATTCGGCATAGTAGAACCCTGTAACCGTTTTTTTTACGACAATGTTCTATCCATTTTCACTGCCAAGTATTTAGTTCACAGCATTATTCCAAGGGGACAACTTCGCAGAGTTGTTCCTTGTGGAGCATTCCTTGCTTTTGATAATTCTTGATATTAAATTCATCCAGACGTTTTAAGCTAACAGGGAATTATCCCTTTACCTTTTTAAAACTTTTTTCGTACATAGCTATAGAAACTTAATAGATAAAATATTTCGTGTCTGTATTACATGGTATGTTATTGGTGTGTATGTATGTAAGTACAAGATAGGAGGGTGTACATTCGCTTGGGATAAACCGTTATTCTGGATTCTCCAACGGCTTTTTCTTTCTTACGCTCAGGTAAAGTCGTATGTATTGCGGTATGTATTTAGGTAAATTACCTAGATCAAAACCTCTAGTTATAGACTACTGTCTCATTTGCACCTTTATCAATAATTTTTGTTCAGTGTCATACGCCGCAGTAAGGTCAATATAAGCCATATCGGTAATTTGCTTCCTTTGAAGCGAAATTGCTAAACTTTGCTGAAACCAACTGATATATGCTGTATCAAATTTAATATTTGGCCACAACACGACATTTTTTTATCCTAAATACAGCTTGTTCTTGCTTAGGTGAGTTCTTCAAATATGAATGGATTTCAATTTTAATCAAATGGATTTTTTTATGTTCAATATCTCTTAACTGATTTGGAATCTTCCTTAGGAATTCCACCAGTATGTTGCCTATTTTAGCGTATGGACTTGGATATTTTTTTTAATAGTTGTTCGCCAATTTCTATTGAGAAATTTTCTATTTTATCTGAGAAAGAATCTTCATTATACTGCAGCCACTTCTTTAGACATTATTGACCAATACTATATACTAGGAATTGCGCGTAAGTCCTTGGGTGCTTGTTAGGTGACAGTTCCCTCAAGAGAATATTATATTGTTGTTTCTGGGAAGCAAAATTGACGCTTGGTGATTTATATACTAAAGTAACTTAACACTCTCCTAATTCAATGGCCAAAATTTACATATCGTTTTTGCAGGTTAAAGAAGTTGATAGGCCATCCATTTGCGGTTTATCGAAGATTGCACGCCCACACTGGTCTTGCAGTCTGCCCAAACCTAGTTTCACATATTATTTATCTTTGGTCTGTGTATTTCGGTTTGTAATCCCGTGTGTGACCCGGTGGTGGAAGTATTAGTCGAATATAGTCGGTTCCCAATTGACGCCCAACGACTTTATGTCAAATACGATCCGCATGCACTCTATACGGAGGTTCCATTCGTGTCTTCTGTTGTATTAGGTTATGTGTTGTATTTTCATGTTATATTGATACAGTAAAATTGTGATATGGTAAATCTTATTTTTGTTTTGCATTTTTGGAGATCACTTAGTACAACTCAACATATTAAATACATCTGTTTCAATAGGTATTGGAATGTCTCCAAATGGTACCCCAAGATCAACTAACGCCTGCATGCGGTAAACATATCTTCAAAATCCAGAAACTAGAAATTTTCGACAACAGTGTGGATTACGCTCTCTTGACCAATTGTGCTGGAGCCATTGACCAATATTGTCCTAGAGTTCCCAAAGAAAACGTCTATGAATGCCTTAAGGTACGTTATTTAATAAATCGTTATAGGTTTTTTAATGTAAGAGTTCCATCACGTGATTATTTTAAGCGACAATCACAGTACAGGAATTTATGATCCGTCTGTTTTTTGAGACAGATATATATTTTAGGAGACATTAATGTATTTCGCACTTTGCCTAATAATGTACTGAAAAACGAGGACTATAAATGTGAAGCACAAACAAACAAGAGATCAGAAAACAGATTGCTTTTGTTTTTACATTATTTCTATATAAATCAAAGAATATAGTCATGTCTTTTTGGTATCATTTGGTTTGAAACTTAATATTTTTTGTTACGTCAATGGTATGACATGTAATAAATATTCTTTTGTCTTATCTATAAACAACTTTTTTTAAATTCTTCACTACTGGATTTTAATTTGACTGTAGCTCAATTATCTTTTATTTTAGACGAACAAAGACGAAAAAGGATTCAGCAAACGGTGTCGAGTTATTGTAACCCATCGACTGATGGAACAAAACTCAAATGCTCTTCTCAATCCTTCTCTACAGAAAAACTGTCAGTTGGATATCAATAAGTTTTGTAAAAAGGAATTGCTCGGGCCCAGGAACGACAAAAAACCCGAAGATTTGGTAATAAAATGTTTGAAAAATCAATTTAAGATGTCCAAATTGTCTAATAATTGTGAGCAGGAGATGGCGGGAATTCTTAGAGAGAGAGCCTTGAATGTTAACTTGGATCCCTTATTGGGGGTGAGTCGTTATTTATTTAATTTAAAGTAGAATATATATATATATATATATATATATATATATATATATATATATAGGGTGGTCCTTAAGTAATTGTACAAAAAGAAGACGCAGATTCTACACTTTAAAATATTACGATTAAAGTCTGCTTGCTTTAATAAAATGTTGATATTAAAAAAGATACAGGGTGTTGAATTGGAAATTTAAAATTTTATTTTTCGCTATAACTTTTATGTTTGTAAACATTTATGTATAAAAATTTACAACTGAGTACTATTAAATATCAGAAATTATAATTTAATATATACCTTGATATAGCTAATAGAGGGCGCCACATATGCCACATACGTTACATACATTTGCACTTAACTTTTATGTTCTTTAAGTTACCGGTATTTTTAATAAAAAATATTAAAGATAAATTATTTTAACAAAAAAAAGGTATACTTGTTAATAACTTCAAAACTCAACAGTTTTCGAGATAATCGTATTTTACAAATCAACTGCATAATTCTGATTTAACGCAATCACTCCAGACAATGAAAGAAAAATAGATACAAACATCAATACTTCTCAATTTTATTATAAAATACCTTTAATAAAGTTAGTATTTAATGAAATATTAAATAAAATAAATATATCAGCAGGATAATTATTAATAGAGTTTGATAAAATAACAGAACAATTGGATTTTACATCAAACATTTTACGTTTTGTATTAAATTAAAGTCATAATGAAAACATTTTATTTACAAACCAAATTAAAAAATAGTTAAACTAAATAACAATAAACTTTTTGTCAAAGTAAGTGTTCGATATGTCCACCATTTTCTTTAATTCATTTGTAAATACATTCCATAAAGTATCGTCTCATATTAAATAGCGTCATTGGTTCTAAAGAAACTGCTGCAGTACTTTTTATAAGTATAATAATAGGTATTCTTTTGGAATTTTTATGAATTAAGTAATTATATTAATATCTTACCACTTGTCCAAGAATATGACTATTACGAATAATCCAACGTTCAGGAAAGTTTGTAGTATTTAAATACTGTTCTCACTCCCCTTTCACTGTAATGTATTGGTGTGCCATCTTGTAGAAACCAAATATTTAGCCTTAAGTTTGATGATAATTCTTCCAATAAATCAATAAATTCATTTTGTAAAGAATGTAAATAAATCTCACCATTCAAATTGCAAAGGTAATTCGCATATCCGTAAAATATCATTCAAAATTCATATTTAGAATGCATGTCCTATGGTTTAGAACCATTGGTACTTATTTTTTACTGTTATACGAATTACCTTGCAATTTGAATGTCGAGATTTATTTACATTTTTTATAAAATGATTTTATTAATTTATTGGAAGAATTGTCATCAAACTTAAGGCTAAATATGTCGTTTCTACAACATGGTACACATTACATTACAGAGAAAGCGGAGTGAGACAGTATTTAAATACAACTTTCCTGAACGTTGGATTGTTCGTGGTAGTCATATTCTAGTGGTGAGATATTAATATAATTATTTAATTCATCAAAATATCAAAAAATTACTTATTAAACTTATAACACTTATAATAAATACTGCAGCAGTTTCTTTAGAACCAATGATGCTATTTAATATGAAAAGATATTTTATGGAATGTATTGACAAATGAATTAAAAAAAATGGTGGACATAGTGAACACTTACTTTGACAAAAAGTTTAATGTTATTTAGTTTAACTATTTCTTAATTTGGTTTGTAAATAAAATGTTTTGATTATGACTTTAATTTAATACAAAACGTAAAATGTTTGATGTAAAATCCAATTATTCTGTTATTTATCAAATCCTATTATTTTATTCTAGCTGATATATTTATTTTATTTAATAATTCGTTAACTATTAACTTCATTAAAGGTATTTTATACCAAAATTCAGAAGTATTGATGTTTTTCTTTAATTTTCTTTCGTTGCCTGGAGTAATTGCGACAAATCAGAATTATGTAGTTGATTTTTAAAATGCGATTATCTCGAAAACTGTTAAGTTTTGAAGATATTAACAAGTATACCTTTTTTTTGTTAAAATAATGTATCTTTAATATTTTTTATTAAAAATATTGGTAGCTTGAAGAGCAAAAAAGTTAAGTGCAAATGTATGCCACGTATGTGGCATATGTGGCGCCCTCTATCAGCTGCATTAAAGTTTACATCAAATTATTATTTCTGATATTTAATAGTACACAGTTGTAAATTTTTATACATAAATGTTGACAAACATGAAAGTTATAGCGAAAAATAAAATTTTAAATTTCTACTTTAACACCCTGTATCTTTCTTAATATCAACATTTTATTAAAGCAACTTTACTTAAATCGTAATATTTTAAAGTGTAGAATCTACGGTTTTTTTTTGTATATTTATATAGACATTGTAAAAACTACGACCGTCAATTTATATTAATAAAGTTCCCCACATTCTAGTTAATTTTGTACTCGACGACCTTATCCATGAGAGTATCAGTAAGTTAGATTTCCAGGTTCCCTTTGTAAAGCGTTATGTCGACGACCTGATCCTAGCAACACCACCTGATAAGATTTTAAGCACCTTATCAGTCTTCAACAGCGTTGAATCTCACCTTCAATTTACATATGAATTGGAGGTTGATAACAGCATACCGTGTTTGGACATGCGAATCATACGCACACATAGCAACATATTGGGCACTACGTGGTACAGGAAAGAAATGGCGAGTAACCGGTTCTTAAATTACCACTCTACACACCCAATGAGATACAAACATAACCTTGTACAAGCTCTTAGCTTTAGAGTACACACGTTGACCCATACGCGGTACAAGAGGGAATCTTTGGATTTACTCAAATCCATCCTCATTGATAACTCTTACCCCATATCCGTCATCAACAGATATCTTTTCTCTAAAAGCTACGGTCATTCTATTTCTGAAGCACCTAACGGTGCAATACTAGCCTCCATATCCAATAGCTTACAGACTGACAATTCCCCGTTAACCCCAAAACCAGCCACAAAATATGCTTCTCTTCCATATTTCCCACAAATTACGAACAAGCTTACTAAACTATTCAAAAACTTACCCGTCAAAATATCCCTAAAAAACACTAAAACCATTGGAAAGTTATTCTCCAAGTCCAAAACTCCACTAAGCTCGTTAGAGCACACTAATGTTGTCTATCAGATCCCTGTTCTGAATGCAATTCCTGCTACATTGGCCAAACCAGTCGTTCACTTCTAGGGCGTATAACTTCACATAAAAGCGACATTAGACTTTCCAAACCCTCTTGTGCCCTTGCACAACACGCCATTTCCACCAAACATCACATTGACTTCTCAAATACTAAAATACTGGCGAAACAAAATAACCATCAAAAACGCTCCTTTATTGAAATGTGTGAGATCCTAAAAAACCCATCTGCAATAAACAAAAGAACCGACATCGACAATTTGAGCCAGGTTTACCACTCTCTCATCTTACGAAATAAATAATACCAATATTCATCATTTAAAATAGCCTTATTTTCCATTCAAAACAATAACATAATCATCCCAGATCTCTAAGTTTCATTAAAACATAAATTACAAAAAAAAATCATATCAAATTTTTCCGTCATACAAATCCACCCGTCCAACTAATCTTTCAATGACCCCCGTAGAAGTTCATAATTGTCTCAAACCTTGGAATTTGTTGAACATATGGCCCTTGAAAAATTTTCGGTATCGCGTCACGTCGTTTAGCATAGATTGCAATAAATCAGTGTTTTGTTTGTCTTCATTGGAGAACCATCTCTAAATGAAGCCAAATGTACGTTTAAAGTTTTTGTAAATCTTCGTTTCTGCGAATACTATTTTTTGCATGTTCCTGTTAATTTTTTTTTAAGTTAGTTCTAAATTTATGAGTAAACTTAAGTACATATACAATAACATCTTTAATACTACATATTGAGTTGTAAGTAATAAATTATTAGATCTGTATTTCTTATAAACTCTATGTCATCTTTGTATTTTAGAGAACTGATGAAGCTTTAGAAGTATAAAGCGAAACGTCTTCTATAAACTTATGAAGTAGTTGACTTCTGTTTTTTATTTTGCCAACCTGACTGACCGAATAAACCTCTGGATTTCACTAGTTGAATACTTTATTAATATATATATATTATATATATTATATATATTATATATTATATATATATATTAATATATATATATATATATATATATATATATATATATATATATATATATGTATTCAATGGTTGAATTTCAGAGGTTTGATCGTCGTCAACTACTTCATTAATTTAATAGAATACATTTTGCTTTTATTCATTTTTTAAAAGCATCATCAGTTCTCTATTTTATGATGTTATAAAAAGTCTACCACACTTTAACATTAAAACTTAACTAACTAAACGAATAAAAAGATCAAAAACACAAGAAAAACTGTATAAGAGCACTATTGTTCATTTATTTTATTTTTGGTGATTTTTTATTTTAACCGATGGCTTCATTTGGATGTTAGTTAAAGCTCTTTCAAGGGACAAAACACACTAGTATATTTTCGGATGTTTTTCAATCCGTTATAGAATGTCATAATTTCACATGTGGATTATATTCAATGGAAAATGGACCAATTTGGAGTATTATTTGGAAAAAAAAAGAGAAGAAGAATAGGGATATGAAGTTCTTATCCTGTATGGGGTTTTTTATTCGTTCACTTGTTTGACAAGAAATTCATATCCCTATTCTTTGAACTCTGAACTTTGAACTTTGAACCATCTCAACCTATGCAGTCCAACCACTAGACTTCAATGTACTCATACTGAATTTTTTTTCCTTTTTTGTCACTCCACTCATCCATCTAAACATTCCCATTTCCGCCACATGTATTCATTGTTCCTTTTTCTTTTGAAGTGCCGAACATTCAGTTCCGTATGTCACAGGTGGGTTTTATAGAATTTTCCTTTCACATTTATTGTAATTTTCCTGTTACACAACACAACCACTCACTTCTTTTCACTTCAGTCATTAAATCCTAGTTATACTGCACGTATCTCCATCGATTTACCCATTACTCTGTAATTCTGATCCTAGGTACTTAAAACTATTACTTTTTACAACAATTTCACCATCCAAAGTTATCATTTTGTATCATCCAAAGTGGGTTGTGCTAGGTTTGATTCAAATAATGCCCTTAAAAAATATTTTAAATTTAATGACAAAATTACAATATATACTGCAGAATTAATCGCCATATTAGAAGCTCTCCTATTTATAAAGAATATGAAACTTCCATCAGAATCATTTGCAATTTGTTCAGAAAACATAACAGCACAGCGCTGTTATAAAATAAAAAATATTCACCAGGCCAATAGTAATGATATTTTAACCAATATACTAATTAAACTTCAAGAACTGCAAAGTCAACAAATCAAGATATCTCTAGTTTGGATTAAAAGTCATTGTGGAATAAAAGAGAATGAAGAAGTTTGCTAAGAAGCTAAAAAAGGAAGTGGGTGGTTATGATATAAATGTCCTTACACTGAAATTGCTTGCCACGTAAGGCCCACACTACTATCATCATCATTCTGACTTTACAACTCTGCGTGGGTCCTAGCCTCCTCAAGAATTTCTCTCCAGTCGTCCCTATCCATCGCCTTCCTCCGCCACGTATTCCCATATTTCTCACGTCTTCATCGATGTTATCAAGAAACCTTTTTCTGGGTCTTCCTCTTGCTCTCTGACGAATGGGTCTATCAAAGAGCGTTTTTCTAGCTGGGTCATTTTGTTCCATCCGCATTACATGCCCCGTCCACCTCAACGTCCTATCTTAATATGTTTTACGATATCTGATTCCTGGTATATTCTATAAAGTTCGAAGTTGTATCGTCTTCTCCACGCTCCAATATCATTCACTGTTCCATAGATTCGCCTTAGTACTTTTCTTTCGAAACATCCGAACATGTTTGCATTACTTTTTGTTAGAGTCCAGGTCTCTGAACTATATTTGGAGGATTTGTGGTTGCGTGCTTATTTTCATATACTTCGTTTTGTATGTGTTTATTATTAAACCCATTTTTGTAGCTGATTCTTTTAATGCTACTATACTCAGTACAGAGTATTTCGTTCTACCAACAATATTTATATCACCATATGCAAGGATTTGCACTGATTTATTATATATTGAAGAATTGGTTGTTATTTGTGACATTACGTATTACTTTTTTCATGGCCAGATTGAACAGTATACATGACAGAGGGTCTTCCTGGCACAGCCCGTTATTTGTTTTAAAAGGTTCAGACAGTTCTCCCTGAATTCGTACTCTACATTCAACTTTTTCAAGAGTTAGTTTTGTTAAATTTACCAACTGATTTGGTATTCCTGGCTCTTTCATTGCTTAGAACATTTCTCTTCTCATTCACAGATTCGTAGCTGCTTTGTAGTCTATAAATATGTGATGAGTATCAATGCCAGATTCCAGTGTTTTTTCTAAAATTTGTTTCAGGTTTGCAATCTGATGAATTGTCATTGCATATGGTGCCATACGGTGACATAGCACTGTGGAAAATATTTTATAGGCTGCATTTAGAAGCGTAATTCCTCTGTGATTAGAGCATTTAAAGATATCTCCTTGTTTTTGAATGGTGCAAAGTATTCTAATATTCCAATCGTTGCGGAAGGATTTCTGTGTCAATATTTCTTTTGTAAGCTGCTGTAATGCCATTACTACGAACAGAATGGAAAGAAATGTATAGAAACAGTCAAAAAGGACAATTATATATAAGTATAGTTACCGAGCTTCCTTGTCAATCTCGGTTGTCAAGACTATCGGGAAGTAAACGATGTTTTTCTTTATCGTACAGATTAAGGTTCAACTATGTTTTAACTCCTCAGTATAAATTTAGAATAAATTAAATAATTCTTCAAATTGTTCATGCTAATAAGAAATATTATACTGTTCTAAAATAACTATTGAAGTAAAAATTATTAAAAGAACAAATAACCAAAATTAGTTTATATTAAAACCGACAAAGTGTTGTATATAAAATCCACAAGGAAAACAATTCCTGTAGCTGGCTGTATACCACGTATCACAAAAAAGAGGTTAGTCTTCGTAAATGGGTATATTTACGAATATTAATAAATATACCCATTTACGAAGACTAACCTCTTTTTTTTGTATATATATTTTTTTAAGTAATTCGTGTTAAAAAGAGTTGCGCTGAAAGGGCTGAAGATGGTGCTAAACGAATGCGAATAAAACTTTAATCATATATCGTTTAATTTTTAGTCTATGAAAATGAAAAAAAAAAAATAAAAATCATCAGTAACAAAAAGCTGTTTTTTTGTATTGTAGAACTTTTTCTTCTTTAGTTGAGTTATTTTGGAAAAAAGTGGATTTTTTTGAGAAATTCTGAAAATCACATTTTCACTTTAAACTCGGATTTTTTCAAAACTATACCTGCTAAACCAATTAAAATTCCAAAATGTAATGTTTGCATATAAATGAAAAAAAATGAAATTGTAAATGAACAAAGAATAGTTTCAACCAGGTTTGGTTTTAGCGGGAATGAGTTTGTTAATCTCAAAAATATATATGCGTGTCATTTTTAGTTATTTTTGGAGTTCTTATCTCAAAAGTATGCCTTTTGATTAAGATCTTTAAAAGTTTTCCTTTCCATGAAAAACTTACCGTTTTCCGGTTATTTAACATTATATGTTTAGATTTTTGTATTCAATGAATAAAAGTCTACTTTCGAATAGCCATAATTTTGTTAATAATAAGTTTACGGTAATAATACAAAACCAATCTCTTTGTTTTATAAGCTTCATTTTGTATGCAAACAGTTTTCCCGATAAAATCTAAATTTTTGGAGTTATTCGCGAAAAACCGTTTAGAAACATGCCTTTTGCAGTGTAATTTGTGACCTTTCAGTCACGAATAACTCCAAAAATATTGACTTTGTATTTCTGGTTATTTATCATTAAATAAATTACACACTACCATCTAAGTTCCCGATCTGTCTCCATACCCTACCATCATGAGTATTTAAATTCTTTGCTTCAAACTTAAATAAAATTAATTTCTACTTCAAATTAATTCTAATCAATAAAAATACAGAATATACATGAATTAATACAATTTATTGTATTACTTAATTGTTACTGAACGTCAATAAAATAATAACATTTGAAATAATGACATAACTAGTAGGCTACTTTTTTGCAATTGACAATTTATTTTCTAAGCGCATATATTTCAAATTCTGTCCGCTAGATCCAAACCACAGAATAATAAACAATCAGAATGCCCACTCTCCATGGAAAAATAAGTACGCGCATCTCGTTTGCGCAGACGTTCCGCCATGTTTTAAAGGGAACCAGTGTTGTTTATGTGGTGTGCATAGAAAAATTAACCTGGTTTAATTGACTTACGGCAATCATAGACATACTATACAATTATATTAACATTGTTAAATATAATAACATAAATATAATATAATTAAACATAAATATAAACAATTACATAACCTCACAAATCATATGTCTGTGTTAGGTGTTTCCTTCTAAAACATGGCGCGCGTGCTGAAAAACTTCAAGGCGGCATCTGAGAGTGGGCACTCTGATTGTTTATTATTCTGTGCCCCAACTATTAGACCTTTTTGGAATCAACTCATTTTTATTGATCTAATAATGTCAGAAGATACAGGTTGTTACATTTACAAAAAATCCGATGGCGTCACCTTAATGTGTATCACTGTGTATACTTAAATTTGGTTGTAAAATGTAGGTTAATAAAATTAAAAATCGACATGTTTAGATTTTTTTTAAAGGCTTTTAGTTTAGGAAATATCCAATTCATTCCATACTTTACGGACACACTGTATATTGAAAATCCATATTTGTAGTCTGAATTAGTTATTCACAAACAGTCGTAGCAGAAAGAAATTAATTAGAAAAAGTATTAGAGTATTAAGTAAAATATTGACAAACTCGTTAAGCAGAGCTCTGCTCAAATCGAAAAAAAAAATGGCCCGGCTTGAAGCTCGGCTTGCAAGAAACAAACCGGCTTGAGCTCAAAACTCGGCTCGTCAAACGAGCTGAGCCTCGAGCTAAACTCGAGCTTGTGACCATCCCTAATTTTTACTGTCATATCCTGGACTATAATTATATCTTCTTCTTAACATGCCATACACCAAAGTGCGTAGGCGACTATCTCATTACTAGAATTCTGTTCTTGGCGGCGTGACACAGCTCACCTGTATTGTGTATTCCTGTCCATTCTTTAATATATCTTTATAAAATTTATATATATATATATATATATATATATATATATATATATATATATATATATATATATATATAATTATATATCTTTATAAAATTAGAACAGGAATATGATTGTATACCTACCTAACAAACGAGAACGTGGGCTAGGAGAGACTGTCAGTACCTGGTCCAAACTCTGATTGTTTTTCTTGGAAAGTGCTCTTAATCGTTTGTCTCAAACTTCTTCCTGAACAATTAATATTATTAACAAAAAATAATCAATAAATTCGCACTAATTTCTTATGTCATGTTGTAGAAATTTCAATCCTTTAATAATTTTCGTAATGACTTGTAAACATATGATAAATAAATTTTGTAATCGTTTCAGCTGATGTGTAAAAATGAGATAGAAAGAATTTGCAAACTCGACGAAGACGATTCTGGCTCTACAGTCGAATGTCTGAAGAACGCTTTTATATCGAAACGTATCCCAACTCGGGAATGTCAGGTGGAAGTGGCAGCTTTAATCGAAGGTTCTGAAGCCGACATTCAGGCCGATCCTCTATTGCAAAGAGCTTGCGCCTTAGATCTTTTGACCCACTGCAAAGATATAGAACAGGGAAACGGCAGAAGTGAGTAGAATTTTGATTATATTTTAATTTACCAAAATTTCAGAAAATATGTTTATTTCGACATTTACCTTTCCTTCTGAAATTCTTCTCAAATTACAAATTAAATGTTCGCCAGTTTTTCATTCAAACTTATTAATCTCTTAAAATTTTGAATAATGATCCATACCGGTTTCTTAATATTGTTCGAAAAAATTCTGATAAAAACCTTTTTTGAGAACGATTTCCGGAGTGGAAATCTAAACGTCAAACATTAGTTATTTAAAAATATGATTGTCATCACAATCACAACCAATAATTGTGGCGTAATCCCATAAAAACATAGTATTTAAGTTATATAATAATCCTATCTAGTAAAACAAGATTTAAAATATAATTAAAAATTGAAGGGAGATACTTGGACAACTTTAAAAGCGACGCTCGAAGTGTTTTTATTTAAACATAACTTTATTACATTTTTTTAAACTTAACCCTAGAATCACAAGGTGAAATTGGTGGAACGATTTTCACAAGGTGGGGTCACCGGCGACCCGAAAATGTTTTTTAAAATAAAAGACATTTAAATGTTTTTTAATATTATTTATCAAAAAATTTACTAAATGATTCGATTTCTAATCAGAAAATGTATTTTTAGATAACAATGAGCAAAACTAATATACAGAGTGAGTCAAAATATAAAAGCACTTATATTTGACATATACTTTTTAGGATGTCAAAAGCAATCCAAAAAATAGTTTATTCTTATATTATTCTCCACAAATACCAAATTGGTGTTCTGCACATATTTTTTGTTCACAGTAAACACAATTATGGCGGCTTTTCTATTGTTACGTCTTGGACAGAAATAAAATCGACGAATTCCTTTCTAATGATGTGAACTGCGATTTTTTCGGCTGGATATTCTAAATAATCACAACCTAAATTGCACAATAGGTGCAAACTTGTCTAAAGCCTTACGTTCTGCGTGAGTGGTCTTATCGTCAAAGCATAAACACATTAAAATAAATTCAAAACTGTGTTTGGACATAGAGCATCTAAATATGGAAACACCCATTTTTTCAGACCGTATATCTATTACTGAAAGATGGGCATCTTTTAAAACTCCATTAAAATATAATAAGCCGAAACGGGCTAGGCTACTCACTTTTGTTCGTTTCCTGAGTATAACAATATTCTACGGTAAATTTTGTTTTGATAATTTCTATTTCTTTATTTGTGTTATTTAAAATGATTTCTATCAGCGAATCGGGAAAAACAGTTGTTATAATTCTTTTATGTTGGTTCTATTTTTTATATGCTGTATGTTTATAAAAAATTGTTTTATATGTTTATAAAACATATAAAACAATTATTTCAACCCAATACTTTCTGAGCAGTCTTCTTCTAAATATTGGTCCATCGCGTTTTGTTACAAATTAACATCACCCCCTGTTGAAATTCTTCTACCAAATCAAATATATCTTCAAAATGGTCGTACGATAGTACATTTTAATCGCCTGAAATCACTTTCACCTAAAGAACATTCTTCTTTGCCACTATAATCATCCTCATAAAGGGTTTTCCACAATTCTTCTTGCTTAAGAGGACATTTATTTTGATCCATAGTGGTGCTAAACTTATAAGACGCTATAAATTATTAATATTTAAAAAAAAATTCCCATAAAAAACTTGTTATATTAACCACAAGGTGAGGTCAAAAATCAGAAATTCGCAAACACGACTAACACGATAAAAACTTTCATAAAAACACACATCACCAGTTGAGTCATATGAAATACTGAAGGTAAATGGTCGGACAACTTACAGGACTACAGGTTCATCAGGATTGCGCTCATGTCAAAAAAATGTGTGCAGTCGTGTCACCGGTGACCCACATTGTGGTTCTAGGGTTGGTGATCTAAGTGGTTTTTTTGGATTACCTCGTGAACTAGCAAAATTTGAGGATACTCTGAAATTTATCACTCTAATTGTGGACCTTAATTTACACATATCTTAAATTGGAGTAATTACTATTTACAGTTTACTACAAGTATAGTATAATATACACAACTATTGTAAATTCAACTTCAAGCTACGGACGATGGAAACAAATGCACGCTGGAAACACGCGTTTGTTCAGGGCCAGACTAGTAAATTAAAGCTGCAATACAAAACCTTAAATAATTTGTAGACGTCTGACAGGTACAGATTATAGTACACCAATTTTTTAAATATAAAAATGATTTACAAAGTCGAGAGTTATTAACAACAAAATAAAGTATACAAAAAAAGTTTATAAAATTACCGTATTTTATCGTAACTTTCAGAATCTGATGTACTGTTGTCATCATTAAAGTTGATAATGATAGGCTCAATTTGTGCCTCAATTAAATTGTCCAACTCCCACATTTTTGGCTCCACTTCTTCTTTTACATGTTTGACGCAGTTTTTTCCATTTTTCCATGGTTACAGCAGACACAGCTTCATGAAATAAATTTTTAATGTCAGCAAATTTAAATGTTGTGTTATGCCATGCTACATAATTCTTGACTTCCGCCCATACAAGCTCGATTGGATTGAACTCGCAGTGATACGGTGGCAACCTTAAAACTATTCTATTTGTGCTTCTTACCAGTTCATCTACTATGTACTTATTATATTCGCCTTTATGTTGTTTAACGATTTCTAAAAGTTGCACCTATAACATCGTTTCTTCAAAGGGAATGTCTTTTGAGCGAAGCCAATTTTGAATATCTGCCTTTTTTGTAGCCATAATGGGAATTTTTTTCCAATTTTCAGGAATGGTAAGGGGCATTGTCCATTACAATTATAGCATTTTTTTCCAGTGTTTGGAACGCTAAAGTAGGATTATCTTGTAATTCACATTTGTATGTATTAACCATTATTTTTTTGATTCTTATATCTACGTGATTTTTCTTAGCTCTTTTCCTAGGAGAACTTAGCGTTAACAGTTCCTCATTTTCATTTGCCGACTCCGTATCAGATATATTAAATAAATGGATTTATTATACTTTTCTCAATATTGTTCTGAAGCTATTTTCTTGTGGCATTGTAAATTAATTACTATTAAACTGGGAATAAGCCACAATTAAAAATAAAATACGTTTATTGACGTTTCAATTTCCACTTCGGAAATCGTTCTCAAAATACAAACAGTAAATTAAAAAAATTTTGTTTTTTGTTACATAGTGAAAAATTCTTCTAATAATTTAATTTTATCTTTACAATGCCACAAGAAAATAGCTTCAGAACAATATTAAGAAACCGTTATGGGCCCAGCGTTATTCAAAATTTTAGGAGATTGGAAATTCTATACAAGAAACTGGCACACTGTCAAAATTCAATTAAATTTTTACGAAGATGTAGAGATAACAACCTAATACCAAAGGGCTTGAAGTTACATCCAGCATATTCAAGCAGAAGGTTGGAAAACATTTTACATAGAGCCAGTTTGTCCATGATCCGAGAAAGATTACAATATCATAGATCGAATTTATTTTTTGTTGAACAAGATATTGTAAGTATTGAAGCTTTTCAATGTGATATCAAATTCTGATTTTGATCAAATTATTTTTAGTTTACATATAGTATATGAAAATTCATATAGAAAACAAAGAAATATACATTTAAATAAATTTAATATTCTTTTAGAACAAAACAGTATACACTTTAGATAACCTCAATAGAAATGATGACATATTAGCGACAGTTGTCAATCTATCAAATAGACATTTAAATGCAACGGAGAATTTAATACTGTCAAAGGGTCTAAACTTTGCTATTACTCAGCCATCCGTTCCAAAATTAGACATAATAAGCTCAGTGGAGAAAATATCTCAATGCTTACCAACCCACGAAAAGGAAGAATACAGAGTGTTATGTAAACTTGAATTGGAAAAATCTACTAAAATTGAACAAAACATAAGCAAAGAGGAACTAAAGGCTATAAGAACTTTAAAAAATGACGACTCCATAATCATACTACCAGCAGACAAGGGGAATGCAACTGTGATAATGGATAAAATTCAATACGAAAATAAAATTAAAGATCTATTAATAAACGGACCTTATACAAAATTAACAAAAGATCCAACAAAGTCTTTGGAAAACAAAATATATAGAACTTTATTCAAGTTTAAAGATGTTTTAACAAGTTATCAGAGAGGATTAATTACACCTCATTACAGTAAGACTCCTCATTTTTATGGAGTACCGAAAATTCATAAAACGAATATACCACTTAGACCCATTTGTAGTACCATGAATTCTCCTTGTAGTGAACTATCAAAATTTTTATTAAATATTTTAAAACCATTTACAAATAAAAATGACACATTCATAAAAAATACACAACATTTTTTAAATAAATTATCAAATATTGAATTTAATTCAAATCATACTTTGGTAAGTTTTGACATAAATAGTTTATTTACGAATGTGCCATTAAATAAGACTTTAAGTATAGTCAAGACAAAATTAGAGAGTGATGATTCATTGGCAACTAGAACAAGACTAAACATATCGGCTATAATGGAGTTATTAACATTATGTACTGATAATACATATTTTCAACTAAATAATGAATTCTATAAACAAAATTTTGGTCTAGCAATGGGCTCTAGTTTATCTCCATTCTTAGCCGATATATTTATGGAAGATTTTGAAACAAATATCATTTCTAAACAAAATTTCAAACCCACAGTATGGTGGAGGTATGTAGATGATGTATTCTCAATATGGCCTCATGGATCAGAGTTGTTGGACACATTCCTAAATGATATAAACGATAAAGAAGAGACAATAACATTTACCATGGAAAAGGAATATAATAACACGCTACCTTTCCTGGATGTTTTAATCTCTAAGAACGATACTGGATATGAGACTCAGGTGTATAGAAAACCAACACACACCAATAGATATTTAAATTTCAAATCAAATCACAATATTAATGTAAAAAAGGGAATAATTAAATCCTTATACGATAGAGCCAAAATTACTTGTTCTAATGAAAATTCGTTCTTGGAGGAGAAACATTTGTTAACATCTGTTTTATTAAAAAATGATTATCCTTTATCGTTTATAAATAAGGAATTTTCAACAATCGATCGAATAGAACAGAACAACTTAGAACGAGATCCTACAGCATACACAAGGAATAATATGAGGAAAATAACAATACCGTACATAAAAGGACTATCAGAAAAACTTAAAAGGATAGGAAATAAATTCAACATTTCAACAACATTCAAAACAACAAACACGTTGAGATCTATTTTGTCCAAAACCAAACCTAACAATGAACAAGAAAGGACAAAGAATTGCATTTATAAAATACCTTGTGAATGCGATCAGTTTTATTTAGGTGAATCATCAAGGCCATTAAATGTTAGAATAAGTGAACATCAATCTTATATTAAAAATAAAGAATTTGATAGATCTCAAATCTGTAAACACGCATGGGATAATGAACATAGGGTTCAATGGAATAATTCAAATGTAGTCCTAAAAGAAACGGATGGTAAAAAAAGAAAAATCAAAGAAGCGGCTCTAATTATGCTAAATGAGGCCAATTGTGTCGCAAATTCCTCGGCAGAATGTAGTAGGATCTGGTTACCAATATTGAAAGAGGAAGTTATTAATAAGAAAATACCAGTATTAGTAAGTCAGTAACATATAGAGGATACATCATTTATGTTTTTTAAATAACGTAACATATAAAATCAGAATTTTGATGTTTGTTGAAGGTAAACTAAATTCACGAACAAATACTTACAATGTCGGGATAGTATTATGAGGTTTTTTTCCTGGTTTTTCCCTCATAATTTACTATGGAATCACTAACAGGAGAATTTTACTGTCATCATGTCATGTGTTTGTCTTTTTAAAGACGAATTACATGCTATGATTTTTTTCTGACGGATATTCTCAAGTTAAAGTTGATTTCATGTAATCGAATGAACTATCTTATAAGTAAAGTCGTCCCAGGAGCGCAACTCAACAATATTGGCAATATCATTTTAAAGTCGTCTACTTTAAAATGCATAATGTATGTCTGAATTGTCAATATAAATGAGTCAGATAAAATTAAATTATTAGAAGAATTTTTCACTATGTAACAAAAAACAAAATTTGTTTAATTTACTGTTTGTATTTTGAGAACGATTTCCGAAGTGGAAATTGAAACGTCAATAAACGTATTTTATTTTTAATTGTGGCTTATTCCCAGTTTAATAGTAATTAATATACTTTTCTCAACTAAAATAACAAAATGGGCAATTTCGAATTTACTTTTATAGTAGAGGATCCGATATAAGGTTTACCTACACCGCTTTGGTAAATGTGATATTTTTTACTAATGATTTTGATCCTTGAAAATCGTCATCTATCGTTCTTCGTCTGTCAATTCTTTTTCGTCTGTCAATTCTTGTTCGCCTGTCAATTCTTCCTTGTCTTCCAGTTTTAAATTATTTATAACTTGAACACGATCAACTTAAGAAAAATTACAAAATAAATTTTTGTTTAGAATGATTCAAAAAATCTAAAACAATATCTGCCCGTGTTGATTTTTTTTTAATATATAAAAAAAGGTATTTTTTAACTCTTTTCGGCACATCGGATTGAAATTTGAACCACCAAATTTTTGCTACATGTTGTACAGTAGTCCACAAAATAAATCACTTATTAATCTATTTTTATCAAGTTACACCTACGCAAGTGGTTTGTATTACTTATTCCCTCTGTCCCTATTAAGTGTTATCTTTAATTGGTAAAATTCCCACGGTATAGTTATTGGCCAAACGCGAATGGTTATCAGTTGTTTCTTGAAAAGTGAGGTCATTTTACTTTTTACGTGTGCAATTGAATCTTTCTATGCCCCAAGGGTCCATTGTAGAAAATTTATAAAATCTCGTGCCGCAAAGAGTTTAAATTAATTAGAGTCAGGACAAAATTATATCGGGCACTTCTGGTTTTTCATAATTTTTAACATACTAAAGAATTTTTATCCATTAAACATATCAGTGCAGGTCGATATTATATCTTATCTTATGGCTATTATAAATGCTTTATTATACTTACAGGAATTATTTTAAAGTGGGGAAAAAGTTTGTATCGACTATAATTAAATGTTCTTAAAACTGCTTTGCACTATCCACACACGAGCTAACGACTAACAAATAAACAAACCAACAAACAGCTTTGCACAAAAATTACTGGGCCATTTCGCATTCGACAGAGGACGGAGCGGAAAAAACGAAGTCCGCACCTGTTAGGGCTAACTGCCTGACTTCGATCGTTCGACAATTTGGCCAATAGCAAGGCGTTCGTCACGTGTAGACTCGAATATCACGCGGTGACTTGTGTTGATTCTGTCCGTAACTTGAAGTTGAATTTACTGTAGGATGTGCTAATTCCCACAAAAAAAAAATAAGTGAACAGAGCTACAGCTTGCGTATATAATCTTATACCTTATATGTTATTGATATTAACATAAAGTTTTTTCTGATTTTTAAATTGATTTCTAATACTTCATTCATTTTAGAAATAAATTGTCTTAAGAGAGTAATGGCTAACGCAGAACAAGATTTGTCACAAGATTGTAAAATTAAATTGAAGGAAAGGCTTGAGATGTACAGAAATGCAGCACAAGTGGTAAGTAAAACGGTCATTTTCATATTACTTTCGGTACTAAAATTACTGCTTATTAGGTCCATAATTTGATATTGCAAAAAATCTAATTATGCAAGAAGTTTCTATGAGTGGTCATGAACCGCCCAAGGAATTAACACTTCTAAAAAAATAATATGGATGGTAGCCGTTACAAATCTAGCAATAAGACTCCATTCTTTGTTTATATTGAACATCAAAATATCGGTAGGTTATTTCCTATGAAGGTTTTTTATTAAATGATTTATCAATAAAAAACATTTTAAAACCAAAAAATTAATTTCGTCTTCAACCGGTCATAAAGAAATCTATTTCATTTTTAGTATTCTCTTTATAAAAACCATAGGGAATATCTTTTCCCAAAAAACAGTCTCCATCATCATTCCGGCTGGTCTTTTTCGGTGAACCTTCGCCGCTTTTCTCCACTGTTTTGACTATTCCTTTGTCTAAAACCTGAACAATATTGGTATTTTTTTATTTTTCGACGACTATTTAAAACCAAACTATTTGCTAATGTGTTTGGTTGAAATGTTGTGTAGATGAAAGATAAAACAAAGCAATTCGTTTTCATCTATCGAAAGCTAGATCAATGTTAAACCACTCTCTCCTTACTATGAAAACTTGTACTAACAATACAAATATTGTTTCAGGTCGAAGTTCCGGCAGATTTTCAAGGTTTATACAGAACAGTGTCTGCATCACCATCAAAAAATTACTTTGTGATAGTATTATTTATGATAATAGGTTCAATATTCTTCGTTGGTGTGTTCCTAGGGCGTTTCTCGAAGAGGAAATACAGACTACTGAAAAACAAGTGACATATTAGGAAGAGTAGCCGAATAAGTGGTTATGTTATGTTATGAGGAAGAGTAATATATCTTTAAAAATATTTTTAAATAAATTCAGTGGTTGTTTTTTCTTTCCATGTCCTGATCTAACTTTAAGCATTCCTCAGTAGATTTTAAAACCGCAGCTGAACTTTGGTTTTTATACCTGCGTTTAAAACATTTCAGTCTGGAGTATGGCTCTAACCATCTCCTTCATCTTCATTTGCCACCTACATTACGAAGGTTGGCCGTCATTATGGCAATTATGACCCTGGAGGCTTCTGCTCGGAATAGTTGAATATAACTGTAAGCGAACCATTCCCTGAGGTTTCTTAACCAAAACATTCTTCTCCTTCCTATACAGCTCTTAATATCATTATTTCCCTGCATAATCACTTATTATAAATGATAGTATTTATCTGCTCGTTTAATATGTTCTAAGTATTGTAATTTTCTCGTTTAAATAGTCAATACATCTTTTTGGTAATCCTGTCGTGATCCGGCTCGAAGGCATTTTTCGATATTAATGTATCTCGTAAGATACAATCTTGGGATATGAGCAGCCTTTGAAATAAAACGACGCATTGAAATAGTCAGAAGCGCTTTCAATAAGATAAAAGCAGTATTATGCAATGGAGATTATCTGCCCTATTATATGAAGTTGAAGCCTGGACAATTACGGATGCAACTGAAAAAGGACTTGCCAACTTTGAGGTTTTTCTTTTAATGGCTTTGACATAGCCTATTGACCAACAACTTGAAGTGTTATCGAAGAATATGGAAAATGTCATGGACACAATACAGAAACTTAAGAAAGATGAAAAAAGAAAAAGAAATACTCAACACTATGAAGGAAAGCAAAATGAGCTACATTGGTCACATACTAAAAAATATGAGTTGGTGCGATTGGTATACTAGGGAAAGTGGAAGGAAAAGGAGGACCGGGGAGACGACGCACATCCTGGTTGAAAAATTTAAAGCAGTGGAGTGGGAAAGCAACAATAAAAATCTTCATAACTGCTGCAAAAAGAGTAAAAGGGGCCGTGATAATCGCCAATGTCCTTAAAGGATGAGGCAGACGAAGGAGAATGCCCTATATATTCAAAAACCGTGTCGGATACCCCGCATCTTCCGGGAAAACGAAAAGATTAAAGGAAATTCTAAAAAGCTTACATAATTATCTTTCAAACGAAAAAGAACTTACAACGGCTTATTAATTATTATTTCTTAATACTAAATAATAGTTATCTTGTTATTACTACCAGTTTATCATTTTTTGTTTAGAATAATGTTAGTGGTTTCTCCTCAATAACGCTATATGGACCTGAAAACAAAAGGTTTAGTTTTAAATTCGACTCGTTCTTGACTAATATCTTGTTTTCTGGTTTATATGTCATTTTACCCGTTTTGGCATCATATGCTTTCTTTCTAATGTGTTTTGACCGTGTTAATGTTTCTTTGGTCTCTTTTGTGGCTACTTGTTATCTGTATTTTAGTTCCAAGACATAATCATCAAAGTTGTACAGAGGTTCCGAATACTAATTCGAATTGCGAGTAACCTGTTGCTGAGTGCACGGAAATATTGTATGGAAAACAGACAGAATATACCCATTTTCTTCAATTTGTCGGAAATTTTGACAGTTGGATCCTAAGATACGCATTTAAATGCTTATGAGTATCTTCTAAAGCTCCAATTGACTCATGATGATACCCAGTGGAGTTTAGTTGCTGTATTTGCAGCAATGCGCATGTCTCCTTAAATATTCTTGCCATAACCTCTGTGCCTTGGTCTCTTACTATCCGTCTGGGTACTACATACCTCAAACTAAAATTTTCTACCAATGATTTGGCTACTGTTTCGACTTCTTTATTCTGTATTACATACTTTTCTATGTATTTACTTAACTCACACTGTAGTATCAATATACAATGGGAACAGATATATACCTGTTCCCATTGTCATCCATCTCAAATGGGCCTACCAGATCTATAAATATTGTGTCAAGTGCGCTGGTGGCTGTCGATGTGAATAGTCAGTTCTAGTCTAGAAATAGTATTTCCTATTTATTTTTATTTATTCCTGCATGCTCCTCCGTAACACGCAATATGTAGAAATCGTCAATTATAATTCTTCATAAATTCCAATCTGCCCTGTTCTCTTTTCTTGTACTGTACATACTTTTATATCTTTTTGTTTAAACATTTGAGAACCCTTTCGTATTCGGTGGATTCTTTAACATTGGTCTGTCTGATTCCACAGTAAGTACTCCGTAATACTGTTGGTTGACAGTTCACTTAGCTAGATGCTAACCGACTCATTTTTAATTATTTTAATTTCTCTTTTTAGTTGTGTGGCATTATCTAGTTTTATCAACTGGTGCTCTAGACTGTTGCCATTTCCGTGTCAAGTTTTCTTTTTTCGTTATTATTTCCCTGACATCTTTCGGTTAGTTATTTCCTTATATTTTTACATTTTTCGTGCTGTTTTTTCAAGCAGCTTGTACGTTTTTAAAGAGTAATTCTACTTTTGCCTCTAATTGAAAAACGCGTTAATGGAACTGTTAATTTTCTCTTCAAGGTATATCTGGAAACATTTTCAATCAGTATTTTTGTTAACAAATCTAGCGAGGCTTTCTTTTTTGATAATCCATTATTAGTTTTAATCAGTTTCAATCCCGTGTCGATTTGGTCATAAAATTTTTCTATTTGTTGTTCTTCTTTGTCCGTTTTTGGTGCATATAATTAGTTGTAACATCATGACGCGCCGGACCGAAGGATAAAGTTTAAGACATGTCGAGAGACAGACTTGTTTTGCCCACTCAGTTTCAATTTTGGGGTCTTGGTTATCGGAGTAGTATATCACATAGTCTTTAATATGACAAATTCCATTTTCCGGCTAACAAGTTTCGCTTATAACCAAACTGCTGATATTCATTTCTTGGATATTGTGTGCTTTTCCTGACTCATACATACTGGTAACATTCCATGTTCCAATTTTCATTATTTGATTAGTAATATTTTAACTTACTGTTCGCCATAATCAGTAAGGTTGTGTTTAAAATTTGTCATCGCATGATAACCAACTATCAATCTACTAAACTACTCACATCAAAATGTGTCCAGCAAATCGCTGAGTTATTGAGTAGACATACAGTATTAAAAAATGTTTAAACCACTTAAAAGCATGTCAGTCTTTTTGTTCTATAGGTACAAAGATTTAATTAATACAGAAACATTGTTCTAAAATTTTATTTTCAGAACTAATAAATTCAACAGAACTGATCATTTAAAATAAATATATATTTTTTAAAATATAACATAAAATGATTTCTTGAATACTTAATTAATTTCTTTAATACATATATTAAACATTAAATAAAACGTTGTCGTCAGTGCCAATACTCATATATACATTTTTATTTAAGACGGTTTTTATCTTCTTCCTTTTCATATATGCTCCTGTATTTAACGAGAGTTACTGATTACTATTATGGTCGAAAATATATTAAAAATGCGGACACCAAAAGCGGGTCCCTAATTTTCTCCTACTCTCATATATGTATTAGAATTTCAGTGAAATTGCATACTGAAGCTTGGTCATGTGTTCACCCAAATCAATTCACAATCACATTCTTCTCCTCTCTACTATGTTTAAACATTGTAACTTTTCTTCTTTCTCTCACAACAATGGAAAGACCTGTCTGTAATTCCGACTAATTAACAAATACAAAATAGAGAGTGAAACAACACAGAAATATATCAAATCTATATATCAAAAGCTGCTCAGGGCACTATCGGAATATAATATGTTTTTAAATAATAGGTTTGGGAAAAATATGCAAAAACATATAATATTCTCAATTATCTTCGATTTGCAGACGAATGACGACGCTTTCAAATTAAATTGGAGTGGCAAAGAATTTTAGGAATGGTTTATAACGCAGACAATAGGATAACTACGATAACAGCCACCAGTAACCTTCCGAATATAAGTTTATAGACAGTTTATTTCAAGTAATAATGTGCAAATTAGAAAGTCATTAATTCGAAATTGGTTTTTAATTAACAATATTAGATACGCTGGTGATACCTAAAGTCTAGAAAGAACAATGAATAAAATATTAGGTCCAATGAAGAATGCGGACTCTCTCTCAATGTTAAAAAACCAGATTCATGCAAATTAGTAAGAACCACATTAACGAAATCCTAATGGTACGAGACCAGCATATCGAAAGAGTAATGAAGTGCACGTACTTGGGAACACTAATAACAGAATATAACGACTACACTGTCAAAATAAAAGTTAAATTATGGGTGTATCGCGTTAAGAACGTTGAAGTATGAAGAAAAACAAGAAAAAAAGGACATACAACACAGGAAATTTGACATATATGTGAAGAAAAATACGGCAACTAGCAGCTTATAATATAAGGCAAAATACACTATAGAAGGAATGTCTGAAGAAGATCTTGGCTCTGAAGAACATACGAGGCTATGACGATTGCCAACCTTCATAATTTCTTCAACCTTTCCATGTTGCCAGTGGTGACTGTTTTTACAGGAATATGTACAAATGTAGAAAGTATAAATTGTCTTTTTCACTATCAGGCCAACAACTTTTCAGACTACTACGTACTTTTAGAACAACAAATCACGTGTTTTGTAAAAGTAGTTGTTTTTTAGTTTTGTGAATATCTGTTCATGTAGATACGAGGTTTTACACTGAAAATGACGATAATATAATTTCACTTATGTAAAATATTTAAAAATATCTGCCATTAAGAATACTTAAGTGATTTGAGACACTAAGCTCGATTCACACACGTCCATTTATTACTGCTACCGTTAGAACACATTAATTTAAGTCAAGCTGTCCGGTAGAGTCTAGTACATAGAACTTCGAGATTCTGAGATCCAGAAAATATTCTTTTAGTTTAGGTACATTAAAACAGATTCTTTGAAAATTTGACTAGAAAATCGTAAGTTAATTTCTTTTACTTATCCAATTTTTTGCCTTTCTTCTTCTTCAAGTTCCATCTTCTGTTAAAGGTTGGATATCATCATGGCTATGCGCACCCTGTTGACTGTCGCTCTAAATAGTTCTGCAGTACTGCATTCAAACCATTTACTCAATTTCTAAGTCACGATATTCCTCGTCTTCCCACATTTCGCTTTCTTCGAATTTTGCCTTGCTTAATAAGTTGCAATAATGAGTATTTTTGTCCTCTCAAGTTTTCTTCTTTTGATAGTCAATATTACTTCAGCTTCATTTCTTTGCCCAAACCCCTTTAATTTTTTGCCGTTCTTAAGTCAACGAGTTAAAAAGTTAAATAATTGAGAGGACTCGATTAGTTAGTTCTTTTTTTGGCTCATTGTTACACAATGCGGTAGTCCCAAAATTCTATTTTAATGAACTCCCAAAACGCTAGTCATGTGTAAATTATTGTTGTATTCGACTTCATTTAGAAACTCTACACTTTAACGTTACTGTTCCAAATCAGTGGATACGTGTGAACCAAGCTTAAGGTGTGTAAATAGTACGATAAACATAATTAAACAGATCAAAGTTTGATTCTTAACCACAGCCCCTTGTAAAAGGTTGTAAAACACAGTAAGATAAAATTTACATTTTTAGTGGTATATAGTTACAGGAAACGCCAATTACATCTCATTTCCATGATTTACTGAACCTATGCCACCAATAACGGTTCTTTTAAAACCTGCACGATTAAATTTCACCATAATTGGCATTTTCCGCATAAAAGACCTCCGAAATAGAGAATAATAATAATCTCGAAAAAAGAAATAATACAGTTTATATGACATTATAATATGATAAAGAAAGTAAAAAGAAACAAAATATGAAAAAACTCAATTGCAATAATATTCACTTTTTTCATTTATTAAAATTTTCAATGATATTTCAATGAAGTTTATATTAAGTTTCTGAGGTAAGTTTGCTGTAGTATTACAGGATGAATATAACACAATATTAGTAGTCTACACTGCACAATAACAAAAACTCTTTACTAATACCTAATGGCAAATTGGGTCATTTTTTTTCAGACTTATAAATAGTTTTTTTTACCAAATTGACAATGCCAATGGTCTCTAAATAATTGAATAAATTTTAAATCGGTGACTCAAAACGGTACAATACAATTGTAATTATTAAAAAAATTAATTCTAAGACTTACTTGATACACACTTTAATAATTGACCAGACATTTCATTATGTTTCTAATAATAATTCAAAATATAAAGGGTTAGAAGTCCAAGATATGCACATACAGTGAATACATCTTGCAACGCATCAAATATTGAATATTCTATAATACTTACCAAGGCTTATACACATATATTTCCATTTTGTTGATTTACTAATCCCGTGCTAAAGATTACATATACAAATCTTTAATTGCCAACGGTGTATTTGTAGAGAAAGATATTTTTAGCTAAGCCATTTTTAAGTAATCAAACAAGTTTTTAAAAAACAAATGTTGCATCATTACAATTTCGTCAGAATTTAGGTAGTGAAATCCAGTAAATTTTTTATAAAATTTCACTATATCTTCATTGTGCAATAATTAGTAATATGGAATTATTAAAAACTATTTGGAACAAAATAAAAATTAAAAAATATTGATCCTTTAATATTGCTCCTAGCTTGGCCCTGTCCGCCCGGCATTAGTACAGACAATTCTTCAAAATGGTATATAGCGAAGAAATGCGTACTTCTACTTCCAAAAGAAATCAGATTTGAACCGGTTTATAGGAAGAAAACACATATAACCCATATATTTATCTTTTTTGGAGATTATATAATATTAAAATTGAATTGCAAACTGTTATGAGCCACCCGAAACAATTGACGAATAACAAAACTTGACAGAACACTATTATGACAATTGACAGTCAAAACAACGTCTGAAATCACGATGATTCGTGACCAGAATAGGCAAAGAACTCTATATTAATATATTTGTCATGTAAAACTCTATATGTGTACCAAGGTGGATGCTATTATCACCAATATGTTCATTCAAATGTATTCAAACTTCAAAAGGAAATTTTGTTATCCACTCATCAATTAATAATTTGATGGGTTTAAAAGATCTAAGGAATATTATTTGCAATAATATACAAGAAACTCTAATTATACAAAGATGCGCGAAAGGGTCTATTTTAGTCTCGAGTTATTTATTCAGTGGCGTACAGTTTTGGGTGAGTCGGTTTATTAGAGTCGTATGGCATACATAAAATATATTCTGTTGCGCTGAAGTTTAAAAATTAGTTACAAGTTTTTTCTCTTAAAGGTTGTACGTTTAGAAAAATGACTTCTCGCAAACTTAACGCAATATGTTAATTCTCCAAGAAGAGAAGGAAGAAAAGTTGATAATGTCAAATCTAAATAAAAGAAATAAAAATGTAAACGAAATTTTTTCATGTCGTAATACAGAGGGTGCTTGCCGAAAGAAGATTGTTTTAAAACGAGGAAAAATTTTGAGAATATTTTAGACTTTCCAGGGATTTATTTGAAACTCTCACAAATTATGAGGTATGATAACACCAAAAAACCCTACAACAGAAGACATCACCTAATTATTATTATTAATTATACACTTAATTATAACTATTGAAAAAATGATAACTGTATAAAAACATAATTATAATTTCGCTATAGATGTGTACGCTGTGAGCTCAGCTGAACGTTTGCGTCCAAATCTAACCGCAATTGATTCCAGCGTACACCGTCGACGTACACGGCTATCGCTCTGCTGTGTGCGCGGCTCAGCAGAACCTAACAAAACGTTATCATAGAGAACCATTTCTTTGATTTTGACAAACGTGCGCGACGTTTGACTGACTGTGAGTTATGCGTCGCTCACTGTTCTAACAAACCATAGTATAAGTACACATCATTGTTATAAATATGTTTTGAAAATAATATATGTACACACGCAGACTTACTAACATAATTAAAAAAACTGTAAAATAAGAACTTTACAATACTCGTGACATTGATTTAATAAATAGGCCTGGTGTATACTGGTATAAATAAATGTCACGAGCAATCTTTTTTAAATTTTGTAAGTAAGTGTCATTGCACACACAGCGGTTTTGATCGAAGCGTTAAAGCCGAAAGTAAAATTGAATTTGGAGGTTGTCTACATTTAGTGAATGGGTAGTGACGAAGTACTAGTCAGGTTGTTTTTCAAAAACAGCCTGACTAGTAGTAGTTGTGTTTTATTGTATTTCCCCTGCCACACATATTGATTTTCTGAAAGCGGTTTGCTAACAATTGTTGGATTTTTGTTTGTTTTTTTATTTATTCCTGACGTTTTGTCCGAGAATGATGAAGACATTGGCAAATGCGATGACAGCATCAACCGCTGCCACATTGTCCCTGATAACGTATACCGTATACCTCTGATAATGTCGAAACGCCTTAAAGAATTAATTGTATACCACAGTCTGTAAGCCCGAAAACGATATACCGTAATAATAATATTTAGTCATTGAATTCTTATAAAATAAAATCCAAAGTGTATAATTTTTCTTTGAAAATGTGATTTATGGACTTTGTATTGAATAATAAAAATAATTAGAGTAAAAAAATATGAACAATGATGTAATTGCATCCATCTCTTGTTACCCATACGATATCAAAGAATTGACTAATTTAAGTGATATGAAAAATATTCGGATATAAATTGGTGTTTATCTAAAAGGAGAGAGCTAAATATGTGTCAGTCATCGTCATCTTCTTCTTCCTTCAATTCCTCTTGCATGCATTTGAATTCTTTAATTTTATCCAAGAGCTGCTTTCTTAACTTGAGGGCAGTGCTTCTGAGATCTTTGCTCCGCTGAATTATGTTTTGTACTTTCGTTAAGGCGGTTTTTTGATGTTGTTGGTCGATTATCCACCTGAAATAATCATTATAATTTATATTAATATAGTCTTGTAAACAAATATAACGAGTCAACGAATCTTTGTAACATTGACCAATTTTAATATCATAATGAACAATTGTTCCTGCTTTTTAATTATTTTAACTACAATGTGGCAATTTCGCGATTTCAGCTTTTCGTTTTATATCAGATCAATGCAGTCTATAATATTGGGTTGTTGTAGAAAATGATCAACAATGATGATCAAAAGTTCGATCCTCGGCACCGACAACGAAATTTGCAATTTTTAAAAATTATAATAGCCTTCCCTTCTTCAGAAAGCGCATAAAGCCGTCGGTCCCGGTGACATAAGTGGTCGTTAAATCATGTTAGGAGCGCTTGCGCTAAAGAAAACCTTTGGATTGAAGGTCACACTTTTAAATGTTGCTATGAAAAGGAGCCCTGGTTGTATAAAGACAAAATGGGAGGTCTATCGGACTCTGGTGAGTAGTTTACATTTAGCCGATCTAAGGAAGTTTCGAGGACCGTTATAATCGTTAAACGACATATAAAAATACCGTGGATTTAACACAGGGATTTAATTACGGTAAAGATGAAAGTAGAGGGAGGAAGTATGAAGAAGATAATTGTCGGATCAGCATACCTTCCATATGATGATCGCAAACAACCATTACCAAGAGAGTACAATCATCAGCTGTAAGGAGAGTCATTACTAGACCTTGTTATGGAACATGATTTAGATAGTTATGTTGTTATATTAGCGTTTGAAAACAACTGCCGGAGACAGTGAGAAATTTCAACAGGAAAGTACCCTGGTGGAATGACAACCTTGCAAATCGGAGGACAGAAGTCAGACGAATGTTTAATTTCGCCAAAAGATCAGGTGATTATCCCGAAGCTCCGACTGAATATAATAAGGAACTGAGGAGGATAAAAAGAGAATCGTGAAGAAGGCACTGCAAGGAGATAGAACAAAGTGGATAAATGTCAAGGCTCCATAAAGTTCTCCCAAGGGACCCTCATGTATTCCCTCACTCAGAGGGTCAAGTCCCTCACTCAAGAAGTTAGGTGAATGCACTGGCAATGGTGAAGAGACCATGACAGAAGTTTTCACACTTCAATAATTTGTTCTTTGAGTTGAGGAGTCATGAGGAGCAATTTTTTAATTTTACCGCTGTCGTCATCCCTTCAAAAGCAAACATGTCGCAAATTTCCTTCCAGCATTGTTTTTTGATAACTCTATCAGTGTATTCTAATGTTCTCATGTCTCACAAAGCGGGACACTTTTCTACCTCCCCAATCAATTTATCAACATCTATTTTTGTCATTTTCAGACAAAAATATTAAAGAAAAAACAAACAAAATCAAACAATTGTTAGCAGACCGCTTTCAGAAAATCGATACGTGTGGCACGGGTGATGTAATAAATCGCAACTACTGGTGTCAGGCTGTTTAGAAAAACGGTCTCCTAGTCTCCTTTTATACCTCTAGCGCGACTTTGGGATTATAGCAGGGTAGTAGGCTATCTCTTGGGCCTACGGTATACGAGGAAGATAACAGAGTTAGTGCTACGCTTCAACCGTCTATTATTACTCCTGGTTTTACCCAAGATACTCATTTTATTCAGGCGAAGTCGACCTGGGACCTCTAGATGTTTTAAAAATATCTAGTTATTTTCGCCAGCGCTCGGGCTAGTAACATCATAAATTGAAATTAGCGATACCGAATGGATGATGATTTCTGACCATATAGTAGCCAGATACAGAATTAAAGTGTTATAGCTGGTACACAGGCGGGTCCAATATTGCAAAAAGGTCGGGTGCAGGAATATTCAGAAGTGAACATTTAATTCTTTTCATTTTTATTCAACTAGGGGAATATTTCTCTGTATTTCAGGAAAAGATTTTTTGCAATATTGCAGTGTGTAGGAGAAATTAAGGCTTTCGAACTGAAGCAGATCAATCAGCTATAAGATACTTTGATTCAGAGCCAACCTGTCTAATATGTATATAGGGCTGTTTCATGGAGACTTAAGCTGCAGACTTGTGGCAGAGAATCTGAAACAGTCAACTGTACTTAAATGAAGGCGAATCATTAGGTCGCAGGCGGCGAATACTCTTCAGAGACTAACTAGTGACTCCAAAAACGTATGGTACCCATCATCTAGACCTGTATAAGCTATCATGAATGAATGGAAGATGTACAATAAGCCAACTGGCTTCAGTACGAAAAAGGAAAAAATCATTACAAAAACATAAAATTAAGCCTGCCATTAAAAATCAGATTCTAAACGCATAATGGCTTTTTCGAACTGTGGGACTCTCGATGTGTTTATCATGGACAGCACATAGCATCAAGAAATCAATACTATTAGCACTTTCCAATATCATTACCAATAGACTCGTTACAATTATTATTTCAAGTATATTGAAAAACTTTGAACACATTACTGGGAGAGATGGTTTGGAAATAGTGATAGTTCAAGCGAATGAAGCTGGCAAAAGATTCAGGCAGATCTACATCGCACTGGTTAGACCAAATAAAGAACATGACTGGTTACTCATTTTCGGAAGCAACACTTTACTTAGCAATTTCACAACGTCACTACATCCTTACGAACGATAAAGTGGATCTATGTATATCTGTACACCGATTTAAAGAACCTGGTTAAAATCCACTATACTAATACATGGCAAAATCATTAGGAAAAATAAGTTACAAGATTAAATGTAATTTGCCCAAAAATAAATGCTGTCCTGGATACTCCTTCAAACAGAAGAAACCAAGGTATTATTAACTATCTAAAAATTGGCCATACTGCCTTGACTCACAAATACTTAATAACAAAAGAACCACTACCAATCTGCTCCATCTGCTCTGATCCACTGACCGTTAAACATATCCTGCTTGATTGTCCGCAATTCATGGAAGAAAAAAGATCTCACGGAATCACAGATGATAATCTCAAAACAGTTTTCAAAATCAAAATCTCAACAATGTTAACCTATTGAAAACACATTAAGTTATTGAATTCTATTTAATTTAATATTTCTTGTGTTCGTTATACCCTCTAATAATAATGTGCGGTTGATGTGATTTTATGTTTAAATAAAAAAATCTTGCAAAAGTATACAAATATTGGGGTAAAACATATTTAAAATTAAATTTTCAACTCTGTTATTAAAAGTGTAACCAACATGACATCATAAAACTGTTAAGTAATAAAATATAAAAAGAAAAAGACAGTCAAGATTTCATTTCACGTATAATGCGTCTGTGTATCTGCTCATACGTATTTCGCCCTAATAGGGCTCGTCACCGTCAAACAGCTATTCACAGTCGTTCTGAACGTGAAACTAAATCTTTTCTGTCTTAGGAAGCAACTCTAACATGGCTTCGTACAGACGCAAATAGCGACATCTGATATTAAAATCCGTAAACCAATTTTCGAAACCAAAATAAAATATATATTCTAATACTCTAGAGATAAAAAAATTTATGATTATAGGAATGTCGAGATGATTCATACCTCTCTTGATCAACAAAACATAATGAGAATAATGAAGAAAACTAAGCCTTAGTGAAGCATTAGGTATGATTAGGTACACTGCACTGAAATATTGTTTTAAGAATATTTGAATAAACATATTTTACAGCGCCATCTTTACAGAGCTTTAGCACCTTCCGAAATAATTTTTGGATATGGATACTTACAAATGAGTATAGGCTGTCATTGCTGGTGTTTTATCATGATACAATGTTTTTCCGGCTTATAGATTGTAGTCAGTAATCATTTATTCCTGACGTTTCGTCCGAGAATGATGAAGACATTGTCTTCAAAAAATTTTTTGGTTATAGGAATGTCGAAATGATTCATACTTCTCTTGATCAACAAAATATAATGAGAATAATGAAGAAAACTAAACCTTAGTGAAAATTAGTCCTTGTGATTAGTAACATAAGAAAATATGGAAAACTTCACTATATTGGCATTTGCAGATGATGTTGATATCATAGCTAGAAGCGAAAGAGATATGATAGAAGCATTTAATGCGAGAGAAAGAGCGGCAGAAAACAGTGGCCTAAACATTAACGAAATAAAAACCAAATACATCAAGGCCAGTAAATCGACAGGCCAATGAAACCTACAGAATCTGATAATGGGAGATTATAACATCGAAAGCGTGAAAAGTTTTTTGATAAAGTTTTCTGGTTTCTATAGATGTATTTAGTTTACCTATCTAGGTTCACTAGTTACCGCAGATAACAATATCAGTGAAGAAGTTAAGAGAATAATACATATCGCTAATAAAACGTATAATGGACTAATTAAACATCTAAGATCTAACAACATCACAAGAAAAACCAAATGCAAAATATACAAGACTCTGATAAAACTGGTCCTTGTATATGAATCAGAGACATGGACACTGTCGAAAAGCGATGAGAACCTATTAGGTACATTTAAACGAAAAATCTTTAGACACATATATAAGGGGGTAAAGGAAAATGACATATGACGCAGAAGATATAACTTTGAACTATACACAGCATACAATGAACATCCATAAGATCGAGTCTCGCTGGATGGCCATATGAACGGATGTTGGAGACTGAAACCCAAACATATAATGAGGCAAACACCAGTAGGGAGAAGGTCAAAGGGAAGACTCAAACTTAGATACATGGAACAAGTGGAACAAGATCTGAAAACACTTAAGATTACCAACTGGAAAAACAAAGCAAGGAACAGAACAGAATGGTGGAAAATCCTAGAACAAGCCAGGACCCAGAAAGGGTTGTCGAGCTACTGATGTAGATGACTAGTACTTTGGACATTAACGTAGGAAGTACCTTAATTTTAGATGATAAAAAATAGCTAATTAGTCAGTGTGACCAGGTATAATCTTACTACTATAAACAGTACAAATTAAAAAAAACTGAATGGCTAAACTTTTATAAATAAATAGCTTTACTTACCTAAAGTATAAATCCGCCCATACAATAATACTCACTGGGGCTACGCTAGGCCAAATAGGTGCTTTATTAGGCTCGTAAGTGGGGTTTAGAAGTGAAGTTAGGACATCCGGTCGGTTTAGATATGACCAAAGACTTGTTGTGTTCTTTGATAATTCTATATTGGTTCTTTCCAATTCGGAATTACCCAAAAAAGTACCTATTAATTAGAAAAACATTTTTGATATAAATACATTAAAATAGGCAATAACGCAATGGGACAGGGATGTAGATTCCAGAATAAAAAATCTCTATATTACCGTTTTATCGTATCTAACCTTTATTAATTAAGACGTTATTAACGAGGTTTCTTAAAAAAGGTGACTTTTTATTTTTGCCGAACAATAGTAATACAATTTTGATGTCCACCTTTTGGAATGGCCTTGAACCCCCGAACCTAATGGTTTTTTTTTCAGTTTTGGGAATAGGCAAAAGTCGCAGGAAACCAAGTACGGCAAATATGCTGGCTATGGCATAATGACGGTGCTGTTTTCAATTTAACAACTTGTGACACTCATGCGAAGGTCAAAATTTAATAATTTCAGAATAACCTTGACTGCCACAAGTTTCACACCAACAACATCCAACAAAATTGCATGGCATCAACCAACCGATATGCAGACATCCTCAGCAACTCTCCACTTCTTCGGTTTTTATCGGTTATTGGCGTGCTGGGGTCTGCATTATCATTAACATTTTTTTGGCCTTCTGAGAAGAGCTTGTTTAAATACATTTTTTTGCTCAAGGTAGTCCTGCAAATACCACAGTCAACATTTTAAGTTGTTCGGGGCACTTAATTTTAATTTTCACACACAATTTCATACAATTTCTTTGATACATTTTTTGTGATAGCACAAAATTAGCAAGTGAACCAAAACACGTCTAGCCTTCATATCTGTCAAAAACAAAATAAAAATGCAGAATGGCTGATAATATCAACATAAATTGAGAACGTGTGTACCAACATATCAAAAAATATATAGAAAATTGAATTACGTAGCCTAGTAGAGTAAATAGACTGGCAAAAGGCTTCTAGAATAGATTTTGGTGGGCACTTTGTTGCTAAAATGTAAAACCTATTTTTTTCGTTTCTAATATCTTTCTAATGCAAAATCACTTGGTCGTCCAAAAATCGTAGCGGGAGGGGAGTGGTGGGGAGCCTTACAAAAAAAAGTGCTAATTTTTTTTTTTCGTTATTTTTCGGATCTACGATAACCGAAAATTCATTCCTCAAATTTGTATGTTGATCTGGACATTAGAAATATTTTTATTTTATTTACAAAAATACGTCAAACCATTGTTGTATATGGAGCGCCTTCATACAAAATCACTTGTTCTGAAAACCCATATTTTTAAAATCTTTTACCTCGCTCTACCTCGAAAAATATTGGGTTTAGCAAAAAATTACTTTCTATAAACATTATAGACCAAAAATCAAAGAACACGTGGGTTTTTTTAGAATTTCGATTGGATACTTAGTTTAAGAAAGAATTAAATAAATCGAACGGCATGTCACGACGGACAGAGCTGAACGCCGAGATGCGAGGAAGGGCGAGATTTCTAATCTGAAGTCAAAGCAAATCGACTCTAGTGATGGCGATGTTGTTAGGGTCGATTTTACATTGAAACGCTGTTGTGTTGTATATTCTATTGCGAAAGTGCATCATTGTGCATTATTTTATACTAATAGCGCGAAATCCACTGAGCTGAGATTTTTTATATTAAAAGTTTTAAATTATTAAAAGTTATTAATTAGCTTATTGCTATAATAAAAATATTAAATATCTACTTAATATTAAAGTAAATATTTTTTTCATCTAGAAACGGATTTAACGAAAAGCAGCAGGTCTGACAGTGAACTTGAGTCAAAAATCAGATTAAGGCATGTTTTTTTCCATAAAGTCCATTTCCTTTTCAGTTTGTTGAAGGACGCGGAAACTGGAGAATACATTTTTGTTCTAGTTTTCGAAAAATGCATCCTTACTTCTTTGCATTTGGCCATGTGAACTATTCTTTTTGGGGAACATTATATTTGTTGGACATGTACAAATTTGCTGATAAGTATCCAGAATTTCATGAAGACTTTATTAGAGGAAATTTTGTTGTGAAAAGTTTGAACAGAAACTTGTACCAACTATTTGTAGATATAGCTTTAAACATATAAATACAAACTCAAAAGATGCAGGAGAAATCGTGTGATATACTAAAACCAGCACAAAACTAGACGAATGGTTTTTAAGCTACAATATGATTGGCATAAATTATCTTATTCTAAGTCAGACTCTTCAGTATTCTCAGAACTAACATCTTCTACGGTTAAAATTGTTTCACGTATATTACCTTTATTGCCACATTTCGCGTGGGCCACACATTTACAAGAACCAATGCATTTGATCTGCTTCCTTTTACACGAGCATTGGGCCCTGTACAGTCTGAAAATTATTAAAAAAAAGCTAATATAATTATTCTTCACATAAAAAGGCAAAAATTGATTCACCTTTTTTAAATTTACAACTATTCAGAATAGTTGACGAATCTTTCGTCAACATGGGTTCCGTGTTTAAAACTGGTACCAGCTCTCCATTTTGTTTACTCCAGCCACTTAGCAACGGATTTGGCAGACATGGTCTTGGTGTCGCACTACATAGCCATATTTTCGTCTGGAAGTGTATACGAAGGCAGTGTTGCCTCAGACTGTCTAAAGTAGGAGGCAGTTTATGAATAGGTTTTGTAGTGGCCAAAATACCTCTTAGAGTATTAATACACTTAATATTGTCGTTAGGTGTATAAAGAAGAATAACAGATTTAACAATATCATATCATCGAAAACATCTTTGCTCAAATATTCTTCACTTCCCACTCTAGATAGGAGACTATAATTTAATAGAAATACCTTCCAATATGAAAGGCTGGTCAACATTTCCTTAGGGAGTAATCCATAGAGAGTTCGTGGATACCTATAAATATTTCGTTGTCCTTTGTTCCAACCCTTATCTAAACTTTTGGAGTTGAAAGGTCTTTAAAATGGGCACATCGGTAACTTTACAGTCGACTATACATTTTGTATATCCCTCCATTTTTGCTGACAGAATGTGTAATATTATTCTGGTATCTGCCTCTTTATGTGATGAGACTAATATTTCAGAATTTAAACCAAAATTTGTTTTGTAATGTAAAACGTCGCAAAATCCTCTGCTGGATACGAAGTGAGCGGTACAATTTGTTAAGGAATATTTAACTAGCTGATTGCTTACGAAGTGTGCAAGCTGGTTTTTATTAAAAACTCAATTAATAAATGAATTCCATTTTTGAGGTAATACTGTATCCGGACCTTTAATTAACCGTTGTGTTGATTTAATTTTGGCGCCTCTCTTTTGTCTCGTGCAGTTTTTTATGGAAGATTCCTTGTAGTGATCCAAAACAAAATCGATCCTTTTAACGTTGTAGGGGTTCTTGAACACTATTGATTTCAAAATTCTTGCATAGTCGTCAAATGTTTTGGCATTTGATGGTTTGCCAACTACTTGAATCAATCCCATACCATCAAAAATGTGACACGTTTTGTGATTTTGTAACAACTGTAAACTGTTCTATTATAGAACCTAAGGCAGATTTATTTTATGGTATCGATAAAACTCCTGCTGGTACAAGTGACATTGGATATGCTGTCAATTCATATTTGAAAATATCCTCATAATATTTATGTCTCTTTCAATTGCCTTGGTTGCTAGTATTTTTTGTAAAAATTCTTGGTCATCTTGAATAATTTTCTTCTTTTCAGAGACAGTTTTATAGGTACCTGCGCGACGAAGTCTTGGAAGATTATTCTCTTTTCTATGCTGATAAAAATTGGGAGTTCCAACAGTAACAATACATTTCGCTAGGCTCTCTTTTTCATTTTTTTTTGTATATTTAGTAAGGATGTTTGAACATTAGGCGATGCAATCTCATTAGCTGAAATTACGAGAAGACGATCTACGCTTTTTAAAAATACATTAAATCGTAAAAACTGACCATGTAGTTTTTGTACAGAATATTCATCAATTTTCATCCGTTTTTTCTACTTTCTACGTTTTGACTTGAGTGGTTGCTTAGGTCTCATGATGCACGAAATTCATCTACCATCATGCCAATCATATTATAGCTTAAAAATCATTCGTCTAGTTTGGTGCTGGTTTTAGTAAATCACACGATTTCTCCTGCATCTTTTGAGTTTGTATTTATATGTTTAAAGCTGTATCTACAAATAGTTGGTAAAAGTTTCTGTTCAAACTTTTCACAACAAAATTTCCTCTAATAAAGTCTTCATGAAATTCTGGATACTTATCAGCAAATTTGTACATGTCCAACAAATATAATGTTCCCCAAAAAGAATAGTTCACATGGCCAAATGCAAAGAAGTAAGGATGCATTTTTCGAAAACTAGAACAAAAATGTATTCTCCAGTTTCCGCGTCCTTCAACAAACTGAAAAGGAAATGGACTTTATGGAAAAAAACATGCCTTAATCTGATTTTTGACTCAAGTTCACTGTCAGACCTGCTGCTTTTCGTTAAATCCGTTTCTAGATGAAAAAAATATTTACTTTAATATTAAGTAGATATTTAATATTTTTATTATAGCAATAAGCTAATTAATAACTTTTAATAATTTAAAACTTTTAATATAAAAAATCTCAGCTCAGTGGATTTCGCGCTATTAGTATAAAATAATGCACAATGATGCACTTTCGCAATAGAATATACAACACAACAGCGTTTCAATGTAAAATCGACCCTAACAACATCGCCATCACTAGAGTCGATTTGCTTTGACTTCAGATTAGAAATCTCGCCCTTCCTCGCATCTCGGCGTTCAGCTCTGTCCGTCGTGACATGCCGTTCGATTTATTTAATTCTTTCTTAAACTAAGTATCCAATCGAAATTCTAAAAAAACCCACGTGTTCTTTGATTTTTGGTCTATAATGTTTATAGAAAGTAATTTTTTGCTAAACCCAATATTTTTCGAGGTAGAGCGAGGTAAAAGATTTTAAAAATATGGGTTTTCAGAACAAGTGATTTTGTATGAAGGCGCTCCATATACAACAATGGTTTGACGTATTTTTATAAATAAAATAAAAATATTTCTAATGTCCAGATGGGTATGCAAATTTGATGAATAAATGTTCGGATATTGTACATCCGAAAAACGATGAAAAAAAATAATTGCATTTTTTTTTGTAAGGCTCCCCACCACCCCCCTCCCACTACGATTTTTGGACGACCAAGTGATTTTGCCTTACAAAGATATTAAAAACCAAAAAAAATGGGTTTTACATTTTAGCAATAAAGTTCCCACGGGATAACACAATAGGATCCTGTTTAAACTATACTAGCCCGCAAACTTTGAAAAGTCACATTTTTTAAACAAATCCCGTATACATACAGAGATCGCTTAAAGTCTACTCACTTTAACATATTTCCTAAACCATAATACTTAAATTGACAAATTTTTGAGTAAATGGACTAAGGCACCTGTCCGTTGTTTTTCCATACACTAGCCCAAAATAGTGAAGAGACACGAGTTTTAGGTGCGCAGTGGCAAAATTCTAAACAATGGGGAAAGCTTCATCCTCTCTGAATTCACCTAGCAGTTAGTTGCATATAATTTGCCGATTACGTTTGTTCAGTGTTGTAATGTTATGATATAAATATGGAAAATTTGCAGAAAAGCTCTAAATCATCAAACGCAAGAAGTAATTTATAACGTTTTAAAATATACAAAGAATCAATGAAGAAAATGGACAATTGTTAATAAATTTAAGGAAAGTGCAGGAACGTGTTGCTGATATAACAGGCATTTGTGCAGGTATCACTGAATAATTATTATTTTTACCCTAATCTAATATTAAGGTTTTAGTCTCGTTAACTATAAAAATAATTGATGGAAAAGTTTACGTTCATATTGGATTAAATGTTTTCTCCTCCGCCAAAACAAACGAGTGCATTAAAAATTAAAATGGATGCATTTGATGAGAGTGCTTTCGCACTATTATTAATTTTCACATTACGGAGAAACTAGCACCAACAATTGATCGCTTTCATAAAAAAATTACTGAACAATGTGGTTATTCGGGAAGTACCGGAAAGTTAACAAAAGAAATTTGTAATTTAGGTTTTCGTTGAAAAAAGATACGGAGCCGAAAACAGAACAATCGTCTTCATAAACGAAAAGTGAAGATTATTACGATGAAATGAATTTAAGAAGAGGTTGATAGAAAAATTATTTGTAAAGTTATTACAAGATTTCATGAGCCTTATAATGATACATACCGATTTATACATATGTACAAAATTTCTTACATATTTTCTGTAATTTAATAAAAGCATTTTACAAAATCATTATTTTTATTATTATCTGATTACCGAAACGGTCAATACTCATATTATTAAGTGTGATAAAATTCATCGAGACAAGGACAAAATCGGTTGAAAAATTCAAAACTTTATACTCAATGCAATTTAATTATTGTATTAGTTGAATTTCGTGGATCAGGTACTTTATTTAATGTAAATTTTAACGACATGTACATAAGAAAATCAGTGAGTTAAAGAAAAGATTGGAATAAGAGATATCTATACGCTATCTTGGGCACGCTCGCTATTATTTGTGTCACGATTACACTACAGTGTACCGATTATTAAAGCCACGCTTCTGCTGGATAAGCAGTATGGTGATTTGAATAATCCATTTAACATTCGATTAACAAATCAGAATAAAATACTTCACCGAGTAAAGGTGTATCGTTATTTTCGTTTGAAAAGAACGCACCTGCCCACAAAATGCATCGTCCCCAGCATTATTGAATCATAATTATGAAATACATAATATGCAGCAAATGAACAATGACAACAGTGCTGGTTTTACAAAAATGCGGAAGTCAAATTGTGTGCCAAACCACTGCCCTCTACGAATTTTAAAGATTGATATCGACCCTCCCAACAAGTTTTCAAGAAAAAAAATTGCATCACTGCATCAAAAAATGGGATGCCGTAGCTACAGTTTGATAACACAGAGATACTCTAAACTCACAATAATTCAATATTGCATTTTTCAAGCCTAAGAAAGATCAGTATTCAGTATATAGTGCTGGTGATAATACAGAACCCGAGAAAAGAACTAAAACAATAAAAGAAATTTACAGTAGCCATGTTTTAAATGACTTGTTATAAATCTAAAAGATACTAATAAAAAACTGTCAAAAAGTGATATATTGTTTTTAACAATATTCATTTATTTGCAGATGGTATTAGTAATGCCATGGTTAAGTTTATTTTACCTCCAGTTTTGCAGAATATTACACAGAGCTCGACATCACAACATCAAAGTTACGTAAACCCGAAGAATAAAAAGTAGCCGAAGACAAATACTGTATATTCCAGTGTAGATAGAATTGAAACGAGACAACTAGTGTGGTATGGTCACGTGAAACGAATGAATGAAGATAGATGGCCAAAGAAACCTTTAAATTACATACCACAACAAAGAAGAAGAAGGGAAGGCCTTCAGTTGCCTGGGAAGAAAATGTACGGCACATAATGAGAGATAGAGCCATCAGAGAAGACGAATGGATGGACAGAAAACGATGGCGGTCGAAATGCGAGAAACGGCAGAGGCTGTAGGAACCTCGCTTATATATATATTATATATATATATATATATATTATATATATATATATAATATATATATATATATATATAAATATAAAAGTAGCCCGTTTATACTAAGAACTTTTACCAATTGATACTAAAAAATTAAATGGTCTATTAAGTTTATGTAAAGCCCATTTATACCAGCAATGTACCATGGGATGATGGGGAACTCCCTACGATCTGTAGTGTTCTATAGATCAAGAAACTGATTCCGAATCTGAATATTAGCGATTTATTGTACTAAGCAATTAATTGCTAATTATTATTATAAGTTTCATAGTACAATTATAAAATTGCCAAAAATAAAATACTTATTACTTTTATTTATTAATTATTGTAGTATGTTATTTATAAATGATATTTATGTCAACGAAGACTATCCAAAATCTTTATGAAATTTATATTCATTTACAATAATTCTAATTGCACACATATTTTCTAGGTGAAAAAATGAGAAACGTAGTAGTAATAATTAAAAAAATACAAAACATCATTTTTCACAACAATTTTTAAACTCAATCTTGGAATGAGTGATTTTGAGTTACGACTATTTTCGTTGAGATGGTCGACATGTGAGTTGTTAAAATCACCAAATATTTCGTAGATTTTGCCTACTACTAGCCCGTACATTTTTTTCGCAAAATATATCTATCTATGCTTTACGATATGCACGGTAGAAAGAAGTACAGATTGGATTATTCCGAATAATACGTATATATTCCGAATAAATTACCAAAGAAGTATATATTCCGAATAAATTACCAAAGACTCTGGCTTTTATTTATCTCTTTTTTAAAATAATGTGGATACTACAAACTTACCAAATTGACTAAAATAGGAATGCTCAAAAAGCAAGAATAACATATCAGTCTTGAATTCGAAACTACTTGGAAATTGATAATGCAATTGATGGATACAGTCTAAAAATATCAAAAATGTCGGCTGGATACCCTTCGATCTAGAGCTTGTAAAACAAAACTTCTGGTGTCTCGTTTGAAAAGGATGACCTGCTTGAATCCACTCACGCTCTATTAGGGCTTGAAGACCTAGAAAAACAGAGTACAAATGCATAAGCGCACCGTCAGAATGAAAATTTTCAATAATTAATAATGTTCTCAGTTTCTCATGTACACGATATTATTTATTCATAAGCTTATATGTTTATACAGATCACGACATTGTTTTATTGACCATACAACACAATGGCTATGTTACACGTTTCCACCTCTATATTAATTTCACAGTAGGTACGAATTGTCGTAATTGTCACATTGACATTAAAAATTTCAAACGTAGTTCTGAAAGAATAAACAAATAATTAATAAAATGCCTATTACGTTGTATACCGTCCAAGAAAAAGTGCAACTTGTAACATGTTACTTTCACGGTCATTCGATACGCGAAGTAATTGATTTATGTATTGTTGCCTTCCAAAATAGTGTCATGAAGGTAATGAACCACGTGTTAGCACTGTCGATGAGGAACGTCAAATCAGGGATATTGATATTTGTGCTTTTGTGGAAGCTAGTGAACCCTGCAATAGTGTACAAATTGCTAGGGAAGTTAAGGAATGGGTATCACTGTTTTAAGATACAACCAACAGAATAACTGTTTCCGGAAGATAACTTTGGGCAGATGGAGTTTTGTGAATTTATGTTAGATAAACAGACTGAAAATGTACACTTTAAATAAATATTTTATTTTCTGGCGAATCTTCATTTTCATTACATAAAAAACCCAATCTATCCGTTGCAAAATATTATTCTCGGAAAAATAAGCACCTCAGTGTTGCAGTTCGTACACAGCATCCGCAAAAGTTAAATGTTTGGACTGGGATGTTAGGCGACCATATTGTCGGTCTATTTTTTATCGTTGGAAACCTAAACGGACCCAAATATTTACACCTTTTACAGAATGAGATCATTCCTGCAGTTCGACGCCTTCTCGTTCATTTTCAGGAGGTTTATTTTCAACAAGATGGGTGTTCGGCTCACAACTCTAGGGCAACTATTGACTTCCTCGTTCAAACGTTTCCTGATCGACTGATAAGTACACGTGGTACAATTAAATGGCCCGCTAGATCATGTGTCTTGGCGCCTAACGATTTTTTTTTTTTTTTTTCTCAAACAAAACATTTATAGGCATCAGTTTGAATGGGCCACAAACCTAGTCGAATTAAGAACAAAAATACTTCATTTCTCTGCAAGCATTACACCAGCCCTACTCCAAAATATGAGGAGAAATCTGTATGAGAGATTTGGTTCCTGTTTAGCACAAAGAGGTGGAATATTTGAGCACTTAATTCATGAATCTGCTTTCCTAATTTTTATTTTTTGTTAGGTACATTTTACGAAGTTTGTAGGTTCTTAATTATATATATATATATATATATATATAAATATATATATATATATATATATATATATATATATATATATATACTCCCAAGATTCTTAAGAGGAACATAGGGCTTCCACAAAGTGTCTCCAGCGAACTCTATTTCTGGCTAGTGCTTTGATTTCAAGCCAGGATTTTCCCATTTTTCTCCCTTCGTCCAGTACTGTCCTTCTCCAAGTTCCCTTAGGTCTGCCTACTTTCCGTCGGCCTTGGGGATTCCAATCCAGCGCTGTCCTGGCAATGTCATTTGGCGGTCTACGGAGTGTGTGGCTCAGCCATCTCCATTTTCTTCGCCTTATTTGCTTTATGACATTTTCTTGGTTGCTTTGGTTCCATAAATTTTCATTGGAGATTCGGTTAGGCCAAAATATACGAAGGATTTTTCGTAACGCTCTATTGATGAAAACTTGTAATTGGTGTACTATGGGTGCTGATATCTTCCACGTTTCGCAGCCATACAGTAATACAGCTTTTACATTTGTGTTGAAGATTTTTAGTTTCGTTTTAGTTGGGTAAATCCTGGATTTCCATATGTTGTTAAGCATGTTGTAGGCGTTGCGAGCCTTATTTATTCTTTCATTTACATCACGCTCTGTACTCCCATTACAGTCAATTATGCTGCCCAGATATACAAATTCCGCTACTCTCTCAATTTTCTGGTCGTTGATCATAATAGGTTGGTTGTTTCTGGTACCAAATCGCATTTCTTTGGTTTTGTTGATGTTTATTTCTAGACCAACCTTCTTTGATTCTTCTTGTACTTTGTTTACTTGGTTCTTAATTAGGTAGTATTTTTTGTTTCAGTTCGGAAGAATTTTATTGTTTTGTTTTTAAGTACAAAAGATTCTTATTCTGATTCTTATTTTTTTCTTTCTTGTCTTATTGTTATATGCTTTGTCCAAAAAATTTGTACAATTTTCAGTGACAATAAAGAATATTATTTATTTACTTACTTATTTATTTGTATTGCTATTAAGACTAAAAAATATCCAAAAAATTAGTTTTACAGCATAAATAAATATTATATATTTATATATTGAATATATAAATATTTAATATAAACCTTAATGCTATATAAATCTTAATTCCTATGTTCAACAAAACAATGTCGTTATCTGTACTCGTAATACCGCTGGTTAAGCGGTAATATATTTGAGTAAATATAGTTTGACTTTTCTCTAAAGGGTTTCTTTCTTTTCTATTTGTGAGCACATAAAGTGCCAGTTCTTACTTCTCACTAGTCGAATTGTTCTTTAACATAAATTTTAAAATTTCACAAATAAATTGATTGATTGATGATTGATTGATAATCATTGATTTGACCTACTCCCTCTCTTGTTTCTCTTGATTTTCCCAACTTTTGTAGCAATATTACGAAACTAAAAGAACACAATTCATTTTTATTTACCTCTAACTGTCCTGCAATCTGGATTCAGAATCACCTGAGCTATCGAACTTACAATTAAGGTACTGTCTTGTCCATTAGTACCGTGGACAAGTACTGAAGCTCCATCTTTATCCAAGCATTGGGCCACCAAACAAGCAGCATTTAATGTGTTTTGAATGTGTCCCATCCAGTTACTGCTTCGAGATATCCATTTATCCGATGTTGAAGATGGATCATTGCAAGCTAAAAAAAGGTCACGGAGTGTAATTTATAGCAAACAACTCTATGTACTTATTACTTCTAGATACTTATCTCTAACAAAATAGTGGACACGGAAAGCGCCTTCTCGAGTACTGCTTTCTTTGCCATTCATCATAAGCAATAAAGCAGTCGGCTTCCCTGGGAACGTTATAAAAATAACGGCCGATACTTCCAATACCAAGCGTGAACAAGACAGAAAGAGCTCAAGATGAATGATCCGCATCAAACACGGTTCTTTTTAGAGCCATTTCTGATGGTAATCTCGATCAATATCGAAGGAATTACTGATGACAAGGAAGTTCTACTTTCGCACATGTGTAAAACTTCAAAATATGACATTAGGGGAGGCAGCGAACGTGAATAGAGGCGCTGGATAATATGGATATGACACATAGCAGTAAGATCGCGTGAAACCTTGTCAAGAAATGAAACTGCGATGAAAAAGCTGTGACAACCTCTAGTCAAGTTATACCAAACCAAATCGCCCATCAAATACTAGTCAATGGAAAACCAGCCGGACATCACATCTGGAAAGACCAAAAAATACTGCCGTGCTGACAACTAACCCCCAAAGTGTGCTTTTTTCACATTGAAAGAAATAAACGTTGGTATCGGATGCATGAAGAACGGTAAGGCAGCGGACGAGGACAACCTATGTACGGAGCAGATCAAGTAGTTTGGCACAGGCACGATACAACTGTTTAACCGATCTGTCTCTTCACCCCAAATAGGTATCCAAAATCTGAAGGATAACAAAAGTTATTACCTTGCTGAAACCATGCAAATCTGTCGATGTTGATGTCGATTTAGACTGGGAAAGAACTGTACTAAGTCCTACTTCATTACAGGTGTGGCGTACGTAGACCTAACCGCAGTGTATAACACTATCAGCCATAGACTACTCCTTGAAAAGGTTAGAGTATTAACAGGAGATAAAAAATGTATAAGCGTCGTAAAATCATTGCCTGAAAACAGGAGATTCTATATCTCTTTTGAGGGGAAGAAAAGCCGCTGGCGTAACCTCAGTGACCGCTGTGAAGACCAAAAGAGTAATATGGGGCCAGCTCGATGAAAATGACACCTTATGTACGTGCGGCCACCGAAAGAACATGGACCACCTGCTCCAGTGCATTAAATGGCCAACACCAAAGTAATAAACTGTGCCCAATTCTGGACCGGACACTTGAAATGATCACGCTTAGACACGTAACAAAATAGTAACCGAATCAGTTAGTTATGTTGCTTTACTAGTTTAGAAAAATAAAAGGTTCTCCAAAAAAAATCTTATTATCATGGGGTCATAATAGAATAAAGTAAATGGTTTTGATTATACAAAATCGTCCATCACTTAAGTAACCACCATAACCTAGGGGTTATGGTGGTAAGTCTTTTCATACTTATGTTTGCTCATTCTGTGAAATGAACACAACAGATTAGAAGCTAAGAACGGCTTAACTCATGGTATCAGACGATATACAGTTGCATTAGTCTTCTTTCGGCAAACGGGGAATAAAAAAACCTTTATCCATATATTATATTGCTTGTATAATCTACAATGCTCTCACTCGCCAATAAGCTGTGGAATAAAACGCTAAAATTGTGCCGTAGTTTTTTAAATATAAATTTTCGTTTTAAAAGTTGATGTTATCAAGATAAAAGACACGTATGGTGAAAAGATAGACGAACAAACAGAGTATGCCAAAAGAATCCAAGTGTTGTATCTGCACAAACAAACGCAATATAGCTCTATTTAACTGTCGGGTAACTTTTTCCGTAAACATACAATTACCTTCAATAAACTTAGCTAAATGATCCAAAACAGATCCGTCACATTTAGATATCTTATCCAAAGGTTTGAAAACTTTCTTCCATTGATTGTAATAACCGCCTGGTTCAGTACCCCCACCTTTACTCTTGCAATAATTGATATAGGTTGCACTTCTCATATCTATAATGTAACCTTTCTTGTAGGGTCCCAAAACTGAGTTCAATATCTTTTCGTCGGCCTTACACCTTCTGTTGGCATTGTTCAACATCGGTTGACTGCTACGGAGAAGTACTGTGCCATTTTCATGCCTGAAAAGGAAATATTTTATTAATAATATCATCAATTGTGAAAAAAACACCAACAAAAATTGAGCAACTCTTGATATAATCTACTCTAGATCTAAAATTACTAAACGCACGCAAAATACGTTAATCACAATTTCTAGTGAGAATAATACTACAGAAGCCAACTCAAAAAATTAGATTTTACATCATTAATTTGTGTTTCAGTACGATCGCTTAACAATACAAAAGGTTGTATTTATTTTTTGAGAAATTCAAATATAAACAAATAGATGTTTATCCTCTGTTAAAAGGGGGATACTTATTTATTTTATAGAAAATTAACTTTATATTTCTGAAAATACTACCTGTTCTGGATGGCCCTTGCTCTCAACATAAAACGAGAAACAACCTTCTAAGTGAAATGAACGATTCTGATTAATTAGTCTTCGTCGAAACAGGGACAATTCGACATTGACCTAATAGTAAATTTTGAGTTTAAATACTTTTATTTTATTCGCGTAAGTACAGTTAATTTTACAAAAACTGTTATTTTACAATTTGTGTTGAAAATACCTAAGTTTAAACTAACCATTTTGCTATGTCTGAGAGTCGAGGTAATTGTCTGATTTTGGACTTAGGAATAATCTTACGTAGAGTGCGTGATGTATTGTCAGACTGCTGACTAGAGTGTATTTTTAGCGGCAAAGAACCAGCAATTTATAGGGTTTCTTAACAAGGAAATTAACGATTTTTTTATGGTCTTCTAATTTTTAAATTCAAAGCAATCAAATGATCGACTATTAAAACCTTTCAGTAAAAATAGAACGACAAAAAATACAAGTGTGAAGTTTAAATTATTTTTTGGTAAATTCAAAGCAATAAAATATCTTATGACTAGCTATTAAAATCTTTTAGTGACAATAGAAGATGCAAGTGCGTACATAAAGGTTCAATTAACTAACGACTAGAGTTTGCACTTTGAGTATTGCGTAAATAAAAAATTGTCTAATTTATGCAGGTGTAGTATCAAATTGTTTGTTTTGTATCGACGGTTCTGTTTCAAAGATATTATGAAAATCATCTTTCCTTAGATTATAGTAACTCTGATCTAACGTTCATTTTTTTATGTTCTCTTTTGTTGGTTCATTAGGCTGGCTTTGCGAGCTGTACAAGATTTTGTAGAAATCGTCAAATATCTTTGTTATTTTATATTTATCCTTCTCTTTCTTATTATTGGTGTCTTTAATTTTAATAATTTTCCGAATATCAAATTTTAGTTTAGAGAGATTTTAAGCTTCTGTTGTTTTCTATGACTTGCTCTATTAAGTTCTCGTTCCATTTTCATTAAATTGACATATTCATAATAAATTAAAGGTATTCATAGAATACATGTTTTCTTGTTCCAGGAATTCCATAGTATAATGTCTTTATTAATTCTAATTTATTGTTCTTAATTATTAAAGGTTCTATACTTATAACACTCACAAATTTATTAAAGTCTTTATTACTACTAATTTATTTTACACTTAATAATTATATAATTTATCTACATTTATACGTGCGTTACATTTAAATATCCGTCGCGAATTTATATTCTTACTAACTGCCTCCTCAATGAAAATCCCCGTTATTATATATAAAATGCCGTTATCTAAAAGGGTCTGGCGAGGCATCGATGACCTTCCATCCATTAGGTGACACATGGACTGGTCTTCAAAGGGTCTAGTAATTTCTTCCGGCAGGTAAACAGGTCTGAGCGCCGAAATTACTAGAAATAGAAAAGAATTAGTCATAATATATTTACAGTTTTATACGCCATAATATTTATTATCGTAACATTGCCCCCCTCTTAAAAGATGGTTCGTCCTGGAACCTCGTCGGGACTGGAACTGGAACGGTATGCTGGTATCGGCAACTGAACCCTCTTTTACAACTTCCAGTTGTATAAAAATGACAAGGGACGGTTTTCTCTCCGCACCAGGAACTACGCGGATTGCAACAGACTAACACCTGGACTTCGGTGTCTTTAAAGATCTCCTCCACCATATTTCCGATAACCTACCAATCTAATTGGCGGCACTCCAACTTTGGCATGGCTAACTTTTGTACGTCGGACTCTAGTACGTGCTCTCTCCATTGAAGTAAGGCTTCACATCTCGGTAGGTAGGTTGGTCACGGGCAGTGTCTTTTGTTACCAGGTAGAAAAGGTAACGTGATGCATCTTGGAGTTTCAAGGTTTTACCGAGAGCTGGCACTTGGCATTGAAATTCTGCAACTCGACCAAACTTCCTTCGAAAGACGGATTCCAACCCTGGTGCGTCTTTGATACTGGCCGGGATGGTAAGGGTCAGTGAGTAGTCATCGGAAAGCGCAAGTAGATCTTGCCTTTCTTCAGTGGTAACACCATGTCTTGCTTTACCGGTACCTCCATAGGCACCCATGAATTCCTCAAACGTAAGGTCAGACACATCTTGAACTTGGTTTACTTCCACTTCTTCATCTACGTCGTGGTCACCTTCGAAAGACGCCAGCCGGTTATGGTGTACTATCATCGGCTTTCCCCTCGGAATCTTGCTTATTCGGTAAATGACATCATTGATCTTCTCCATAATGAGGTATGGACCTTCCCAACACTGCTGCAACTTGGGAGAACAACCTTTTCGCTTTTTGGGATTATAGAGCCAGACTTTGTCGTCCTTCTTAAAACACCCCTTTTCGGCTTACGTATCGTACCGTTTCTTCATTCGGTAACTAGCGATCTGGAGATGGGAACGGACCAACTCGTGTACATCGTCCATTCTTCTTCGTAATTCGATCACATAATCTTCACCTGCTACATCTTCTTCAGGTCGACACCCAAACTCTAGATCACAAGGTAGTCACATCTCGCATACGAATAGACTCTGGCTGGTGTCTGGCCTGTTGATTCGTTAACAGCAGATCTGTAGGCCATTGTGAAGAACGGAAGATATTCGGACACCATCTTTGTCAAATACTTGCCAACTGTCCTATTCATCCATTCTACCATACAATCCGATTGCGGATGATAAGCCGTAGTTCTTGTTTTCTTCATGCCTAGTCTATCACATATTCCTTGGAATAGATCGCTTTCGAAGTTCCTGCCTTGGTCACTATGGATCTCCAAAGGCACTCCAAATCGGCTGATATATTCTTGGATCAACTTATCTGCAACGGTGGCGGCCTTCTGGTCTGGGAGTGCGTAAATCTCGACCCACTTAGTGAAGTAATCCATTACTACCAACATGTACTTGCCTCCATTTTCACTTTCTGGAAATGGCCGAGCAATGTCCAAAGCTATTCTTTCAAACGGGCTTCCAACATTATATTGTCTCGTAGGAGATCTCCTTTTTCGATAAGGCCCGTTACTCGTAGCACAAATAGTACATTTCTTACACCAGTCTTTTACATCGTCGGAACTGTTCATTCAATAAAACCGTTCCCGAATTCGCTGAAGGGTCTTCTTTACACCAAAATGCCCTCCTGATGGAATGTCGTGTAACTGACGAAGTACTTCGGCTATTCTGCTCTTTGGGATCACCACTGTCTTCTCTTCCCTGAACCGTCATCATTTTCCAGGACTCGTTTGAGCAAGCCATCTTCCATGATAAACGGGTCCCACTGGGCCCAATACGTCTTAACTACTGAGCATAGGTTTGATATTTCTTGCCAAGGTGGTCGACGGTTTTCCTCTTTCCATTTTAGAAATTTCTGTTCAACTGGATCTCTCTCTTGTTCTTCCCTTATCTTGGTAGGCGTCCAGTCGTCGTTGACCATCGTCGTTCTTAGCACTGCTGCTTCCTTGAATTCCGTTTTGTTGCAGTGGGAACACTCTGCTGGGCATGGCCTTCTGGAAAGAGAATCAGCGTTTCGGTGGCTAACTCCGGTCCGGTGCTCAATTTTGAAATCGTGTTCTTGGAGTCGTTCGATCCACCTGGCTATCTGACCCTCTAGATTCTTAAACCGCATCAACCACTTAAGGGCGGCATGGTCGGTTCAGATTAAAAACGTCCTTCCATATAGGTATTGATAGAAGTGCTCTACTGATTTCACTACTGCCAGAAGTTCTCTTCTCGTGACGCAATAATTCCGCTCAGGTTTTGAGAGAACTTTGTCTGTATACCAGCGGTAATCTCTTGCTTCCTCTGTGAGTCGCATTAATGGCTTAGCGATATCCGCAAACTTCTTAATAAACCTCCGGTAGTAAGTACATAGTCCCAGAGAACTTCTCACTTGATGTTTGTCAGTTGGTTCTGGCCATTCCTTAATGGAATCGATTTTTCCCTTATCCACGGCCACTCGTTCTTTACTGACTATATGACCCAGATAAATGACTTTACATTGAAATAACTGGCACTTCTTGGGGTTTAACATCAATTGGGCAGCTTTAAGTCGATTAAGAACGTTATCTAAATTCCTCAAATGATCTTCAAATGTCTGCCCCAAGACGATTATGTCATCTAGATAAACCAGGCATGTTTTCCAAGATAACCCTCTCAACACGTTTTCCATAAGCCTCTCAAATGTCGCAGGAGCATTACAGAGTCCAAATGGCATAACGTTGAATTGCCACAATCCAGATCCTGTGGTGAAGGCTATCTTTTCTTTATCTACCGGGTCCATTTCTACCTGCCAGTATCCAGACTTCAAATCCAAAGTAGAAAATAATTTACTTCCAGCCAATGTGTCCAATCTGTCATCGATTCGAGGCAGAGGATAACTATCTTTCTTAGTAACGTTGTTCAGCAAACGATAATCCACACAGAACCTCGTTTTCCGTCTTTCTTCTTAACCAGGACCACCGGAGAGACCCATGGGCTCGTAGAAGATTCTATTACCCCCTCTTTCTTCATTTCCTGAACTATCGTTTCAGCTTCCTCTCTTTTCGCCTGTGGTAATCGTTGAGCTGTTTATCGAATTGGCTTAGCATTACCAGTATCAATTTTATGCTTAACAACGGTAGTTCTTCCCGTCTTTCCTCCTTTCGGTACGAAAATATCACGATA